GTCTTAGTATTCTTATTCGTTTGTAAAAAAATCAACCATAGACAAATCGGTGGTAGTCTCTTGATACTAATAAAATTTATGTATTCAAACCCAACCTTAACAATCTCAGTTGTATCTCTTCACTTCATTTTATGGAAAGCCTAGCTTCGAATGTGTCTGGAGACCGATTTATAAAAATAAAGCATTTGATCGTGATTCTTGCAAAGATTTCAAGACTTTTTCTATTATGTTGTAAAAAGTTTCTATTGACGCTAACGAATCTTTGTCACAAAGTTATAAAAAATAAAAGGCTGAGCCACATTGTTATTCGAAAGAAATAAAGATATATCAGAAACTTCGAACTTATTGTCAGTGAGCTATTACAATAATGATACAAACAATACGGCAAACTAAAATAACTTATTGACAAGTTACTGCTTTTTTTTCCTTCTGCCAATTTTTTTAAAAATAGTGTAATCTATACTAATATTACAATATATCATCCCGGAAAAATGTACGGTTCCCATGGGACAATTTTGTTCTTGTCTAGGGATGAACCCAAAGCAAAGCGAGGGTGCGTCGCTAGTCCTCTACATATAATACTATAAATGCAAAAAAATTCTCATTAAATCTTAAAAATTCAGTTAGTCTTAAATTCGAAATATATTTCTTTCAACTAGTTATCATATAAAAAAACGGCTTTACGTGCTCTCCGAGGCACGGGGGTGAAACACCGCCAACTTCCCAACTCCGGGCTGCTACTGAGACTTACTATACAGAAAGACTCAATAACTAAACTTGGCCCGACCCGAAACTCCAACCCAGAACATCCGAACCTGCGGCCATACATGGTAGCCACTAGACCACCTAGGTAATTCCCTATGGAACATTAAACGTTTAATTTTAGTATTTTTAATTCATTAATGTTATACTTTAGTCAATGCTTCATTATTATATTATAATATCCGTAATTTATGTAATATAATATTCTACGAGAACCATAATTTATAACAAGTTAATAGGACATTTACTATATCACGTTATCTAATACGTCACGGCCGGGTGTTCCATCGATCTATTTCTGAACACCCAAGGGATTTAGCTTGTCACAATGCTATCTCCACGAACCAGAGAAGGACGAGAACAACAAATGACGGAACACAATCCAAATGAAGCTGCGAATTGTTATAATTTCACTCAAGAAACTATTGTCGATGAATGGCCGCCTAATTGAGTTTATTCAACACTAGCATTGCCCGCGGCTTCGCCCGCGTTCAGATGACCAAAAATCAAACTCTTAAGTTTTACATTTAGTATAATACTCTTACATTGCAGTTTTTGTGTTTTTTTCTCAGAAATGATATATTTTTCCGAGGTAAAAAGTATCCTTTACGTTAACCCGGATAACCAGCTATCATCATACCAAACTTCATCAAAATCTGTCCAGTGGTTTTCTCGTGATGCGGTAACAGACAGACAAAAATTCTAAAAACTATAGATTCGGACTCTGTATCGATAATAATGTCTATTTCAATAAGATTTGCCAAAAAATATTTAATGTACAGATTCGACTCAGTTACAATTTTATTATATGTATAGATTAGCGACTCACTCTGACTTCGCTCGGGTTCGTCCCTAAGTTAATTCTCCATTAAAACTTTTATCCTCATTTTCCCCTTAAGGTTCATACCTTATAATATAATGGAGCCAAGTCATCTTCCAGGATAAAAACTATCCTATATCTTTCCCAAGGTCTCAAACTGTCTTCTTACCGAATTTCATCTAAATCAATCCAGCAGTTTGGAGCTTATTCGATACAAAGAAACAAAAAAAATCTAATTACGAAAAGATCAAAGTTGTAGTACAAAGATTTATTGATATATAAATAAAATGTACGAGTACAAACGTTGCTATAGATATTGGAGAATTGAATATATGATCGTAATATTATTGAGCAAAACGTCTTTACATAAAACACCAAAACTATGAAGAGTATTTCGAATAAGTTGTCAATTCGTACCAAAGACATAATGAAAGGGATCGATCGATCCATCGTGTAGAAAAGATGGAGTATCTACAAAATTAAGAAAACAATTTCAAACTTATATTATTAGAATTTTGTTTTACATAATATAATGGAGCCAAGTTTTGCAAGTAATCTATACAGGTTCGAAGTAAAATTAACATCGAAAGAAGATACTAAGAATATTGAAGTGACGCAGATAATGATATTAGTGATGGGTTATAATGATTAGTGATGGGAATAAGCTAATGTAATATGCTATGTAATAATTTATTTATGTAAGACTCTAAATTCTTATAGCATAGATGTCGACATATTTGCTGATTCCTTAGCCAACTTCCGCAAAACCATTAGCAACAAATTCCTAAATAAATGCATTGGTAGTCTTAAATAATGTTATAATTGCTAAATTAATGTAACTGTGTATCTGCTCATTGATTAATAAAAAAAAAAAACTATTTACTTCTAAAATATATCTATTTTGTATAATATTTTAAGAAACTTTATTTCTGTGCATGCTGTGTTTATTTGTAAGTAATCACTACATTTAGTTCCTAATTTTTAGTTGTATTTTTTTTTATATTGTGTGTATTATTGTAAGTGATTGTAAATAAACCTAATAAATAAATAAATAAATAAATAATGTTATAACCGCGAAAGTTTGTGGATGGATGAAAGTTTGTGAAGGATGGATGGGATGGATGGATGATTGATACCTACTCTTTCAACTACAGAACGTGTTTTGACGTAACTGTAGGTACTGTGTTGTAATATAGCTTAGGTATATACATCATAAGGCAGTGGTAGCCCAGTGGTAACGCGCTCGCTTGGGAAACCGAGTGAAGCGAGTTCAAATCCCGGGTCTCGCACTTCTGATATTTTCATGTGCGAATCATTTCCAACATGATTACCACGTGTCTTAACGGTGGAGGAAAACATCGTGAGGAAACCTGCATGTCTTAGAGAGCTTAGCAAGTTTTCGAAAGACATGTGAAGTCCGCCAACCCGCACTTGGGCAGCGTGGCGGACTATGGCCTGATCCCCATAGTATTGAAGGGAGGCCCATGCCCAGCAGTGGGACGTTAAAAAGGGCTGAATACAATATACATCAGAGTAACAAGCTATTATTTTTAATGATATAGTAGGTAATACACAATTGAACTTATGCTCGAAAATGAGCCGCGGGTAAACGCTAGTACATAGTACATACGTATGTACTATATATGTATATAGCTCTGATATATCAATCACGTGCCGATAACAGCGTTAAAACATTTATTTTCAATATATCTCAATACATTTTCTTAAGTTAATGTAAAAGTACTTATAACACCTATTTCACCTGTTTTTATTCAAATTCATTTATACAAAATTCTGTTAGAAATGTCTATATTATAATGGATAAAATCATACTGTCTCATCACACCTTGAAGGGATTTTTACCTTACGGCACACCTGCTATTCATTTTCGTTGTACCCCTAAACATCGACAACGGCGTGGCACTAATGGCAATGTTGAAAGACATTTACTTTTTGTATGCAATAAATATTATGTATTCAGCCCTTTTTAACATCCTACTGCTAAGTACGGGCCTCGCTTCACTACGAGGGGGTGAAGGCCGTAGTCTACCACGCTGGCCAAGTGCGGGTTGGTGGAATAAATATATCTCTATTTCCCAATCACTTGGGGTCGGCGCAGTACATCTTCTGTACTGCTGATAGGATTTGGCAAAAGTTTTACGACCGGCCGCCTGCCTGACGGCAACCCTTCTTGGAAATAAATATAACTATATACAATAAATAAAAAAGTTTAGTGATAAAGCTATAAGCACATAGAAATTCAAATAGATTTAGTTGATTATACGAGGTTTTTTTATTTATTTTTACTCGAATATTTTCTCGATTTACGAGTAATATTTTGTCAACCTGTCAACTTACTTGTCAACCGAACGCCATCAATAATAAATGGGTACTACTTCCATCCTTACTTGAAATAAATCTTCCTTATCTCCGAACCTATTTAACTTTTGCCCGGAAATAGAAAAAATACCCATTTTTAGGGAAAAGGTTTTACAATGTAAATGTTGAAAATGAGTTTCCTTTATATGTACGTAATTATAAATTCCTATACAACCGACACAAAACGGAGACGGGTACAGTACAGCTCGTAATCTATCAATCCTACCATTAAAAGGGGCTAGGCTAATCCCTATATTATTTATTTTATTTAAATTTGTATTACATTTTTTAAAACACTAATCTAAACACCAACAGCGCAACAAAAACCATGTATGATTTTCCCGTACACAAATAACATTGCTAGTCCAACTAGCAATGTTCATTTAGTTGAATCCCAGTAATCCCTCCACGACCGCGGATACGCCGGCGTGTCAGTTAACAATAGATTTCATAGAATTTTAATTATTTTTTTAGAAATTTACTTGGAGGTGTTAATAAAAATAACATAGTAGTGGTACTTATGTGTCAACCTGTTACGAATTAATTGAAAACACAAAAAGTATATAATAAAATATTGTGACTCAACAGTATTACTCTCTGCCCCTATTTTCCAATTATAACACGAAAGCGCATTATGCGGCATAATGCTCAACTTCAAATATTTCAACTACAGCACCACTCCGTACAATCGAGCACTTTGAAAAGTTCTGCTTTGGCGTGATGCGCGCAACGGGTAGCAGAAAATGTAAGAAGTGTTTTTCGCGTTCGTATTTGTGCGTCAAAGTGCTCTGTAATTGGAAAATTCTACATGTATATATATCTTTGACTTGATGCCATAAACTAGATAGACAGATTGACAGAGGATATTTGACAGAATTTTGACGGTTATCATCGCATAGACAACAAATATTAATTATCAAATATGATTCAATTATCAGCAGCCAGGTATCAACAAAATATTGTAGTGTTTTTGTAAATTGTAATCGTTCTACTTTCTGAAAATATATCGTATAAAATTTGCAAATTTTAAATTTATATAATGGAAGACAACACAATTAATATCATAAGAGAAAGTACTAGAAATCTAATAAAACTGAACCGGCAAATACACAAGAATGAAGAAAGTGATTTACGTCGTTGTTTGCAAGAAAAAAGGTATTTAATGCAAAAATAATAATATTAAATTGTTAAAAGCTATATAAAGTGGAACAAAATTTAATTTTATACTCGGATCCACTTTAAAATAAGAGTTTACCGTCTTTTAAGGATTTCATGTGAAAATATATCAGATATTGCAAATAGATTAAAAACAAAGACTGCTATTTCGGAAATAGATCTGCAGAATTTGAAAAATGGGTTAATAGAAGATTCCCAATATATTGAAATAGTTTTAAATGTTCATGGCGCATTAAGAGGACTCGTAAGGGAATTGACAGGTATTTATTAAATTAAACTTTACTTTCATTATAATATGTTTAACAATATATATGACATAATTTTTTTTATAATTTTGAATAAAAATCATTTTTCGATATCAAAATTAAGTATCTTATTAAGTAAATAAATAAAAAATAATCTGGATCCAAGTTTTATGAGCTATAGTTTTAGCTATTTGCATATATACCATACCAATAACAATTTATTGGTAAATAAAGAAATACATTGCTAAAACTTTAATTCTTGTCAAATACTATGTACATAGTTTGCACAACACATTCGTTTTTCCATTTTGCTTTATAAGGTGTCATCTTAGAGCCCCTTCAGCAGTCTATCAAATATGGATATTCCTTACCATGTATAATATACTTAATACTTACACATATTACTTTCATCCCTTCTCACATCCAAGCCACCATAAATTACATTTATAAAATCATTTTTTTTTTATAAAATCAGGCCACAATATAAAGAACCAAGTTGCGGCAGCGGGCTGTTGTTGTAATTTAGCATTAGGAGATGTAAAAGCTTGTACTGCTTTAGCCAAAGCCGCTGGCTCATATCTTGTAACTGCTTTGGATAACTTCACTACTGAACTTGCTGTAAGTTTTTGTTATATAATAATAATATCACATTTATACTAATAATATAAATGCAAAAGTAACTCTGTCTGTTACCTTTTCAAGCTTATTCTGCTGAAATAGATGGAATTTGGTATGGAGATAGTTTGATACTCTGGGAAGGATATAGGATTGTTTTTATCCCGGAAATATCAAAGGGATGAAAAGGGGGTGGAAGTTTGTATGGAGAATCATTCATTTTTCAACGGATTTTCCTACTCTTAAATACCTTGTATATTATAGTCTATCAATAACATATAAACCATAAATACATGTTTATTGTTCATCCCTCTATGATAAGAATGTCAATAAAAGTGAGCCTGTGTGTACACACTTATTCACTTACAAAAATTTTGGTATTAATAATAATTATGATTGAATAATGCTTTCAACGAAATAAATACCTTGAGTAAGATTTTTTCGAGGGTTGTTGTATTAAAATACAAAATATTTATTTCATTCACAAGTCTGTCTGTTTGAGATTAATAAGGCCATATTTCCCCTGCATGTATTAATAAAAGGAAAAGTGATGTTTTGTTACATAAATAGACTAATCTGACTGTATTACCCACTTTAGTGTAAATCAATTTGTTCAGACAGAAGATATATTATCTTACATATATTATTTTATATTATAGGTCATATGTGCATGGACTATCGGTAACTTAGCCGGTTCTGGCGATAAAGTATGTGATATATTGGTTTCGCAAGGAGCTATCTCAAAATTAAGTAATTTCCACAATAATGAGGATTTGCAAGATGCGGCTTTGTATGCATTAGTACACTTTGCTTACCAAATGAAGGACAACTTAAGGTAAAGTGCACACTTGATCTGGTCTTTTTATTAGAAGTGCTCTTACTTCAAAATAGCTAGCATATTGAACTCATATAGCATGATACTAAATTAAAAACATTGTGCATAAGTGTAGGTCATATATCTGGAATGGTTAAACTAATTCTAATGGGATTTCAATGTTGTGATCAATTTAATGTTTCTTCGTTTATTTTTAAATATAGAATATGAAAGAGTTTCTGTGACCTGATAGAAGTTTTTGGTACAAGATGTAGAAATATAAAGCAAAAAGCAAATCTATCCTATCAATATATTATCGACATTAACATACCGTACATTAACATACAACTATAATCTGTTCAGCTGTTCTGGCTTAATTTAAGTAACAAACATTCATCCATCCACGCTTTGGTATTTATAATATTTATAATGGGATTACATAGTGTGGGAAAATGCTATATATATATATATATATATATATATATATATATATATATATATATATGTATATATATATATATAATATATACCAACTTATTATTATTATTATTTTATTATTTGCTCATTTAGAACATAAATTATTGTAATTATATATAATCTATTCCAGACATGATCATCTCAACAAAATGATTCAAACTTTAACAAAACTGGACATCTCTACGGCATCTTTGCAATTGCTTTTCATACTTTCATGTCATAATGACTTTAAAGAAAACATCAATGAAGATATATTAAAGAAAATTTTAAACTATTTACCAACAGCTATAAAGTCAATGAACACCCAACAGCCAGATAATAAATTATTGTTTATATCTAGAATTTTAGCTAACATGGATGGATTTTATAATATTATTTTAAAATGTATAGATATAAATAATTTATATGAAGAAATAATAGTTTTGGTAAATTGTAATAATAGTGTAAGCGAGTCTCTATTGTGGTTGTTGGGAAATTTGTTGAATTTTTGTGATGATAAAGAGCTTTTGTTTAAATTGTACAGTTGATACATTAGCAAAAATAAAATGTTGATACTAAATGATTTGAGTTTTTTTTTCATAGTATCATCTATGATATATTAAATATACTGAAAACCATAATTATTATTTAAAGTAATAATTATCTATACATACTTATTACAAATCTCTCAGTTTTTTTTAATATTAATAGTTGTGAATAAAACTATCTTTTCCAATATTTTAGCAGATTTATTTTAATTTTTCTTTTTGGTTCCCGACGTTTAATGATTTCCAGCAAACATGGGTTAAGGCAATATGTAAATGCATATCCGATAATATAGTTTTATTTAAAATGTCAGAAATTTACGTAAATCTAAGAAAGCATTTATAATTCTGGATGAGAAGTTCATTTTATTTACTAATCTATACTAAAATTATGAAGAGGCAGACTTTGTTTGAACGCGCTAATCTCGGGAACTACTAATCTAGAAAAATTCTTTTTACATAAAATAGCCTGTTTATTAATTAAGGCTTATAGGCTGTATATAATCATGCTGCTACCCAAGTGAGCGAAACAGTAATCATAAAATGTCAACAAATCTGGTAGACTTCCTAGTTCCTTACATCATATAAAGACATAACGACAAACCCGCGCGAAGCGAGGCTGTTTTCTGTCTGTGACCGCATCACGAGAAAACCAGTGGACAGATTTTGATGATAGCTGGCAGTAGACAAATTTTGATGATTGTTACTAGGTCTTTAATCTGTGATAGCTGGTTACCCGGGTCAACATAATACAGGGTAGGTACTGCGAGAAAATATCTCATCTCTGAGAAATCTATTCTAAACTTTAAAACGTAATTATATAAATATTCTTCTATAAAGTTTTACAAACTTTTACATAGTAAACACTATTCGAAATTGACAAAAGCTTAATGATAATGAAAATGCTTTTCAGAATGCTTAAAACACAAAGTAAACCTGTAAATATTTTGTGGGTAGATTAACTTTTTGGGACACACTGTGAATTGTCCCTCGGCTGTCAAATGGAATAATTAATTTTAAAAATAAAACAAACGTATTGATTTTCGCAATAAATATAATATTATTATTATATAATTAATTATTCATAATATATTTTAATAATTAGATAATATGGATAAGGCTACAGAATTACTTTTAAATTTTCAAGTGACAATCGCTCTCACAAATGTAGCGCAACTTCCGTTCACATTTGGCGCAATTCTTAATAATATTATATTGTTAAAGAAAATATCATAGGTTTAAATAATATAAAATATTCGTTGATGTACTAAATTGTCATCTTTTTAACTGGGAATCATCATTAGCTAAATCAAATGGTTTTTTTTTTGAAATTCTTGCTCTAATATGAACGGATTAAAATAAAGAGATAATCATTTCGGAATGATGGACTTCTATCGAGTTTAAAACTTGAGCATTATTTATTAGTACTCACTACACGTCTGGGATACAGGAAAATTAAGTTGCAACCACTTTTCACCGTTAACATGTAAATTCTAGCACAATGTTCCAACTTATGACATTTTTTATGGACCATGGCATTAGTACGAGGTTTTTTTAGACAATTTTTTTTTTTGTTTTTTTTTTATACTTCCATAGAATTTAAGAATCTATTATTATAAGTTTGGAATTTAGATTGATTTTCGCTGCTAGTTGTTTGGAAAAACGATTTTCAAAACTACGTACGTAGTGCCTTCCTTGGATGTAAGTTATATGTGTAGTGCAAACATAAAAACTTATTGTAATATAATTTAATTTATGTGGTACCCGTCATAGAACTTTTTTGTTAATAATATAAATAAATAAAACAAATATAGATAGATGTTTAAAACAAACACAATATTTTAATTTGTAGATGAACTGACCGTTGTAAAGAATTGGTTCTTCATTAAAAGTAAATGTGCAATGTTAGGAAAATCTTAACATTTATGTTTTAAACATTAAATGAGAAGTTTAACTAAAATTTCTTCCTAATTAGACAACACTTCTTTCAAATACTATTCTCGATCTTATTAAATTATTTAAATGCAGGTGTTCAATTAATAAAAATAGGCCAACTAATATTTAAATTTAATAAGACTTAGGAAATTAGTCAAACAGCCAAAATTTAATAGACTACTAAAGTAAAGGTAGATGCACACCAATTCAAAAACATTAAAAATATTTTGAATATTTCATAATTTATTCATAGTTTTTTATAAATACATGACATGAGCCCGACACACTTCACGTGCAGAACCACTATGACAAATAGATAGGTATTATTACTACATGTCACTATCTAGGCACTTTAAATCGAAAACCATAGGGAAGGTATAATCGAATATTTCTATAATCTATATTGAATAATTAAAAATTGGAATTTAAAATATATCACGTCTACAAAAACAAAAATATGTAAATAGTTAAAAAAAAAGTATCCGTCTACGAAGCTGATACAATTTCTAAAAGATCATTCCAATTTTTGTTATATCCATGCATAGATAGGAAAAAGAATAAAACATATTTATTATACATTCATATTTAATTTATGGAATCGTAAAGCACGTCCACAAGAACAGTACTTAAATTCTAATAGAAATTGATCTTAATGTGCGTTTGTTTCGAATTCGCTTTAATTAATCTAAATCTAATATTTATTGAGAAATTAAAATCAGTCAGGTATATTATTTAGTCTATAAAACGGCCAAGGCACACGGCCAGCTTACAGTACTTGGCCCTTAGCATGAGTTTCTTTTTATGAGTAATTGTTATTAAGTAGGTGAAATACGCGTAAAATAACTGTGCTGCTTTAAAAAACTGCTTTGCAACAAATCGCTTTATAGTTATTCATGTCGCTATTAAAGAAGGACTTTGAGAAGTCTAATTACAGAGAGAAATAGAATTGTATTAAGTACACTATCTACTATGTACAATTTTATTCCATTAATATTTAGCAATGCCGATTTGGTTTGCATGTAATTCCGCTAGAGGTGCTGCTGGTAGATGCATGGAAAATAACAATTGTTACATACTACCAATAATTTTTCTTTCAAAACTCTTACTAAGGGCTCTTAGATGCCCTTTTTTAATTATATATCCCATTTTATGAGTTTACATCAGAAATAACCGTTGGCTAACACAAGTTAAATCACAACAGTTTAAGGACTATTGCCCTAAAAATTGAGATCTTAGTCTTTATTCGTGTCTTTGTTTTATGTTAATAGTATTATTCATCTTTAACAATTTTTAACGTCAATTGACAATGTAGAGGTTTAATAAGGCCTAACACAGACGAACGATTTTAATGGGATATACATACATATTACACGTAAGTATTCAGTTTTGAGTTTTAACTTATTTTAATCAATCTAGGTATTGAAGCTACATTATATTTTATTGCGGATTAAACCTGGTTTCTTAATTGGTTTTGCGCTTCTTTCTATTTTTCTTTAACAGAGTTTCAATGTTAATACTCGATTAGATTATAAATAAGAAAAAATCGAAAAATCGATTACGTGCGTTAGGCATTACTTACCCACTTAATTTTGGTCTTCCGATACAATGCGTCGTCAGAGATCATAACATAAATGCGTTCACTTACACAAATAAAATCGCATATAACACAAAAACAATACAGTGTGAATACCTATAAGTCTAATACTGACACCAAGGTATATGTGGTAAATATATCATATTATTTCGTTTAAAACAATTATGTAAATTGGATACAGTAGCTACAATCGATTAGTAGGTATTAAATAACTATATTTGTGAGAGTTTCGCAGTATCATTATGTGTGGTCGGAGTGCTTGCGATGAGCGCGACGCGTCCGCGACCTTTGCTCGTTTGGGGAACTTACTGGAAATATAAAAAAAAACATATTTTTTTTTATTATTTCTGGCTAAAAATAAAAAAGGTTATTTCTTGCTTACACTATTTTAATTAAAGTGGAAACTTGTTTTCTATTTGCCGGTTGAAGCATCATATATGTATAAGGTTAAATGTCAAGTGCATGATATCAAAAATTATTAGCAGGTAAAGCAATTTTGTTAGTTATATACTCATTTTTTTATTTATATTCGTAAACCACTTTTTTTATAACTAGGGGAAAATTAAAATATAATAATATAAGTACAGGATTGGATTTAAATCATTTCTTTGGAAAAATTATACTATGCTCAGAAAGCAAATTATATTGTGGTACTTGGATTAAAGCTAACTAAATCACTGCGAAGCGAGGCCGAAGTATCTCTGCCTGGCTTACGAGTACTAATACTATATTATTAAATGAAAAACTTTAAATTAAGGTATTTTATAAATACAAAAGCTTATCATGAATGGTTATGCTTATATATTAATGTTTGTGCATTTAGTACAAACACACACTATATACACTCGCGCGCGCACATAATTTTTTTTAACCAATTTTAAACTTTAAAAGTGACTTTTCACACCATGCACACTTTTTTATTTCATTAAAAATAACATCATAACTGGGCCGTATATAAAATGGAGTATGATAAAAAAATAACTTGAAAGAAAAAGTTATGCTAACTCGAAATAAAACGTGACACGACGTTTTTGGTTTTATTTTTTATTTATTTTTTGTGTTCAGATCTTCCTGTAAAAACTACACAAAAACTTGTACACGTGCATGAGGAATAAAAAAATGGTAAACAAACAAGAAATACGAGTTAATAAATAAAATGGTTAGAAATCTCTATAAAAGTTACTACTGTTTTATTCATGCATGAATGGGTTAATGTTATATTTTCCTCCACAAGTAATGATATTCATGTTCTCCTCACCGTTTCCGTGGGGTATTATTTTAGTAACCACTATTTTCAACTCGGGATATGTAGGAATTCTAGCGTCATGTGATTTGTTTGTCGCTAAACTATCGGTGCATATCGGTTTTAAACGCGACTGTTCTGAAATTCAACAAAAAATAACAAAAAGAATTTTTCAACCGTAAATAAAAAAATAAAAAGGGCAGTGCATAAATACACAAACGTGAGTGATATTTTTCATTGATTTACCTGGCGGTTCATCTGGACTTTTCCCATTACTCGTTTCACCGTTTGTTGATTGAGTCTTTTTGTTTTTGTCGTAACCGTAACCTCGTGGCCGTGTATGAGCTATAATATAAATTATATTCGAAAAAAAATATCCAGAAATAGCAAGGTTTTATTCAAAATATATCAGAAATAAATTTAATAAATATACTATACAATAACTGTGTTTGATAAGTTGTAATACTTACTGTTAGCATAGACGGTAGAGCGCAGCGGTTGTCCGACGGCAGTTAGCTCTGGCAGAGTGAGCGGTCGTCTGTTGTTTCGATTCCGCGATCCCATACTGTATTCTCTAAGAAATAATACCAAATAACTATTATAATAGTTGTTTCTGCTAATAAAAACGTGTATTAACGTTTAATAAAATATAATTATGCCTGAATACTGTTACTTTTGTGCAAGAATATAGTACCAAAAGATATCCAGAATTTTAAGCATCTGATTATCATAATTGTTAGAAACTTAAATCTGAATGATACACTTTGTGTTATTGATCTCGCCACAGTTTTACAAAAAACAAAACACGATTCCTTTGTTAATCAATTTTCTTCAAATAGTCAATTTTCTATACCAATAATTAATCATTAACCCTCTTATACAACAGGGAACAAGAATACCTGTGGTAAGCATCCCATCTACTTCCAGTATACAAAGCGGTAGGTCTAAGGCGGTGGCGCTGGGTCGAGCAAATTTTGCGAAAAGAGGAAGGATATTATACTGCAATTGTGTGTAAAAAGTGGCATTCCAATGGCCGCCGGTTGATGAAGATCTGGTTGACCAATTAGCACCTGGAGGAGGCCCATTTTAGACGGACTTTAAAACGGTAGGAATCTCGTAGAATAATGTCCAAGCAACAGCTAAAGATAGAAGGGCATGAAGAACTGCTGCAGCCCTAAGTTCTACGATGGAATGATAGTACCATATCATACAATAGAACTGAGAAATAGGAAAGAAGATTCCGAGACAACAAAAAGAATAATAGGGCTATAAATAAAGATATACTATGATTATAGATATTACTACACGTAAACTTTTTAAACAAAACAGTTCCCTGTTGTATTTGGTTGTAGGAACCAAAAAACTAAATAAATCTGCGAAATAATCCAAAAACATAGTTTTATTTAAAATACTAAATATTCGCGTAAATCTAAGAAAGTATTACGTAAACTTTTCTTACTCTCTAAGTGGCTCTCGCCAAAAGTCCGGCGTATGTACTGGGGGGAAGTGATAGTTGTTCTGATACCCGTACCCGTCCAGCCCGCTCGCGCGCAGGCTCGCGTGCAGGGAGTTCTTCATACACTGCAACTGTTTACACAAACACATCTAATCATCTAATATTAATTAATATAGAGACATCTCTAAACATTTTGTATTACTTTGGAAATTTGAGAACTTTGATTTTCACTTCATTAGACTACACATGGGTTTATAAGGGAACTTCATTTATTAAAATGATATATCTTTAAAATAGTAACTGCAACACTAATACTAAATATATTTAAACATGGTAATACCAAAACATTAACAATACATATTCTAAAGTCATAGATAATTGTAGTGAAAACTAAATAGAATTCATCTATCAATAAATATGTATATACTATGTACTACACTAAACACTATAGTTGTTTCTATTAGACACTACATTGAAAAGACAAATTACAAAGAGAAGGAAGCAAGTACGACGGCGCGGAAAGGGAACAGTGCTAACACAAAACTTAGGCCACTCGCACACATCGCGTCAACTTTGTCGTTTAGTTCATACTATTTATAATTCGAACGAAACTATCGTCCCGTCCGCGCCGACCTTTGCGGCTGTATTGTAAACTGTACACAGATATGCTCGATTAGTTTATTCATAACCTTCATTGCTTAAATTTGCCATTTAAAATAACGAAACTGATTAAATTGTATAATGTGTATTATCAGGCTATGGCATATGAAAAATGAAAGCAATGTGTTATTTAATGTTTCGTTGTATGTAAATAGCAATACAATATGAATCTGTGCACATTAAATATTAAGTCATCAACCCCGAGCATACTGTGAACAGTCACTGATAAAAACATGGACATGGTGGTATTGCCATCGCGATGGTATAATCCTATCAAAATGCTAATAGTATTGTATACTCACAAATTTCACAAACCTTTCACCATTTTTAATATTTAACAAAGTATCAAAACTCAATGGTAATTAATATGATAGAATATGACTCCTATTATAAATGCGAAAGTTTGTATATGTGTGTGTTTGTGTGTTATTTTTTCACGACTGGACAGATTTGGATGTACATACTCGTACTTAGATAGATTATGATCTGGACTAAGACATAGGCTAGACTATGAGCACCTAGGAACACGCCCCAGGAAAGCGAAGGTAAGTCGCTAATATACTTTATGATATAAACAATTTTTCAATGGTAATTCTCATGAATAAATACGTATTATATATTTAGTGGTAATATATTTTGTGTGTTATATATATTGAATGAATCCCTAATTAGCATTGGGTATTTTTTTTCATATATGTTTATTAATCTCTTTTCTCACAGAAGAATTTTAGTACCATTATATGTTATTATATGGTGATGAAACGAATTGATGAGCTAGACAAGAATTTACGTGTAATCCTGCATGTATCGATAATAATAGCATTATTATAAACATGTAATGTCTAATCGTTTAGCATAATTATAATGACAAGTACTATTAGCATTTGTCTGGGACACCGACATACATGCGCGTGTCGTGCGGCCGCGCCGTCGAACAGTAGGTTGGTGACGCCCGCGCCCCCGAGTACCTCTCTGCGCTGGCGCTCGGCGTCCGCGCGCAGGCGCCGCACGAGGCGCTCCGCCTCCGCCAGCCGCAGCCGCAGCTCGGCGCGGCCCTCCTCCGCGCCCGCCTCGGCCGCGGCCGGCGCGCGCGCCTCCGCCTCGCGCAGCTTTCTGTGCCCGCGGGGCGGTCGGGTTCATTTTATTTTAATAACTAGCGACTCACCCTCGCTTTACTCGGGTTCGTCCCTAGGTATGTTTTGATTTTTTGAGTGGAACCCTAATTCTTTTTCTAAAATAAAAGTAGCTTATGTTACTCCATATAAAATCACCTAGCTTCCAGAGAAAATCCCGTCAAAATCAGTCCAGCCATTTCAAACGTTATCCGAAACAAACAGAAAGACAAAATTAGGAAAAAAGTGGTTTTCTTATTAGTACCGTATATAATTTCATATGCATTTAGTAAAACACTATTATTTTTACTTTACAACCAGACACTTCAATTTTATTCATCTGTAGAGATCTTTTAAATTTACGCGAATATTTGACATTTTAAATAAATTTTATTTCATAAAGGAGTTAGGATGAAACTCGATTTTGTGTTTCTGTTTAATTTACACTTTTTTATTTTGTTGATTTAAAAAATACATATGTTGTAATCGCTAATTAATTACATATAATAGCGGCAGTACAAATTAAATCATTTTCAAATTTGGTTACTTTTTCAAAACATTTTCTTATTGTAGGTTTTAAGTTTATGCTGATATTGAAATTAGAACCTACTGTGATCATAAACAAGTTAATACACGAACAATATTGTGGTAATCGCCCTTAAAAACTAGCACCGATAGCGGTGAGCGACAAATCGTAAGAACCACATATAAGAAAGGCTAAAGTACATAGCACGAGGTTTTGTTATACTTGAGATCTGTACATGGAAAAGGTGTGTAACACAATCATTTCAAGGCAATTTAGATTTACTTCAGATGAATGATATTACACATGCAATATTTGATCGCGTGTAAATGTATTTTATGAGATTAAGACTGGCCCTAATACAGCCGGAATAGTTCTCTGATGTAATTCGTGACTATTTCTTAAGAGGGCGTGCTTTAAAATATTGTTGATAATTATTTCTCGTATGAATAATAAGTTACTTTATATTACTACTAGTATAGTATTATATGATCTGTGATATCCATACTAATATTATAAATGTGAAAGTGTGTTTGTTAGTTTTTTTGTCCTTCTTTCACGTCAAAACGGATTGACAGATTGGCGTGATATTTTGTGTGGAGATAGTTAGAGGACTGAAAAGTGACACAGGCTACTTTTTACCGCGTGAGATTATCTTATTCCCACGGGAAAATAAGTTATATTACAACTCAAAAAATATTTATGATCAAAATTATTTGAAACTTAGTATAAATGCTCTTCAATACAATTAAATGAATAATTGTTTTAACACTTTTCTAAATTCATCGCATAAGGGGGTAAAGTAGGGAATTAAAGTTTGTATGGAATCTACTGTTTTAGTTTTTTTTGTAGTTTCAGCGCGAGCGAAGCCGCGGGTTCTGCTAGTTACTATATAATAATACTGTAGATATATTTCATTAAAAATTTTAAAAGGAATATACACGGTCATATAAATATATCTTTGCCATTTGAATGTATTGTTTAGTGCGCAACAATCTTTATTTTTCTTTAAGCGATTTATTAAAAAAAATCAAATAGTTATTTTATTATGATTATTAATATGTTAGTGAAATAGATAGATAAAACATTAATTAAACAATATTATTAAACTGGTTTGCAGAAACAATAAGTAAGTACAATCTACATATTTCAATCATTCTTAATGTTATAAGTTGTTAAATATTTTTCTTATTATCTTAACTAATATTTATGGGGCCCGTTCGAAAGTTATGGATAATATTGTGAATTTTTAAAATAAAAATTTATTTAAAACAAAAGAATTAATATAATACCGTTGAGATTTCTAACACATTATCTCTCCCGTGACGATGATTGCTTGCTGTAAAGCAATCAAAACGTCGGGAATCAAAAATCAAAATAAATTCGCGAGAAAATCCGAAAACATAGTTTTATTTCAAATGTCAAATATTCGCGTAAATCTACAAAATGACTAAGTTTAATTTTAATTATTTAAACAAATTCTCATTTTTAAATCCCCACAGAATGCTAGCCCAGGGCTCCGCTAATTCACGGTCCACCCCTAGAACTCACTCACAGTTCAGTTGAGGATAAGTTACTAGTAATACTGTATAACAATAATATATGTACATACTCGGTCTGCGCGTCGACGAGCTTCTGCAGCTGCAGCGCGCGCGCCTCCGCCGCCCGCGCCTCGCCGCGCGCCGCCGCCGCCTCCTTCTCTAGGCGGGACACCTCTTTACGAAGCTTTTCCTACAATACAAATATTCCATTTTACTAGAATACAACTTAAATCATATAATATCAAATATGTATTGTGAATTGTTATCATTTAATTTTGAATTTTGTTTTATTTTATAAGATTTTAATATATACTTCGTTTATTAAATACTTATTTGTTTTATTATTAATAATAATATAGGTACATATTACTTTAGAATTATTCGATTTTTTTATAATATTATTTTATATTTATTGACTTGAGTACGAAAATATAATATATTTCAATTTTCAGGTAGAAATTCGTTCGCTAAATAAATGTGCGTTTTTCATGGTATTCGTAAATGGAATTCGTTACTAAGTATTATAGTACAATTTACATAATTATACTTTTTGTTAATTATTACTTTCAGATATTTTAAATAATATTTCAATTATAATCAAAGTTAAAAAGTTTTACTATAAAAAACTTTGGCAGCAAAAATTATTCGATATACTAAATATAAAAAAAAATGGTTACTACGGTGACGTTTATACTTAAGGTGACCTACTGTCTCTGTGTAATACCTATATACTTATACTACGTTCAGTAATTATTTAGTAAATTGGACAAAGAGTATTAACATCTTAAGTCAAGGTCACAGAGTGTTAAGCTAACAACATTAGCGAATGCAATATTGTCGAGGTTTCTAATGCCCCGTACAATTTATAGCTTCGCAAGCATTTGTTATGATTCATCCCGTTCTATCGTACTATTAGTTACCTCATTGCTTTCAGCTGTGTCATCGGGTGTAGGCTGGGCCGGCTTCACGGTAGACTCTTTGTTGAATATTAGTTGAAATTGCAAATCTGAAAACGATGTGACAATACAATATAAAAAAGATCTAATTGTGAAACTTTGATTAGGTGATCATTGTATAAGGTTGTTTTTTTTGTTGTAGAGCCTGGAATAACACATATATACCTTGCGATGGGAGTAGCCAGCCAATTTCGATTTTCAAGTAGCTATTTATTACTATAAAATATACATTATATATTTATGACAAAGTAAAGGTATTTAATAATTAATACATGAGTACTGGGCAGGTACTAGTTATTTTTACCATCACACAATTTTATTTACAGAATAAACATAGGTCACTTAGGAAAAGACGGTTCAGCGCACTCAACTTAAATCACAGTTGCAGTACAGAAGAGTGTCGTAGTCACACTGGGACAAATATTTGTATGTATATTCAAGCTTAAATGTATACTTGTAAAGAAATCGAACTTTGAGCTTCGTCGTTCTATTGTTCGTTTCTCTGCTGTTGAATAAACTATATTAATAAATAAAAAATACCTCTATTTCTCTCTCGCAAAGCTTCTATCTCAGTATGAAGGCCGCTCAACATGAGCCGGTGTTGTTCTTGCAGAAAACGGACACTATGCTCTAAGTGTGCTACCCGGGCTGCTGCATCTGTACCAATGATGAACCCACTGCCACTTGTTTCCGGAGGCGATTTCTTCACCTGTAATCATTATTTATTTCATTTTAGCAAATAGTGCAGTTTCACAAGTAAAAAATGAACGATAATGCTTATCATTGCAACATAAAGTGAAAATTAAATAAAACAGTGACGTTGAAATGTTAGACACTAATTATTATCAAGTAATTAAAGCATAATATTCTATTAAATTTTACTCGCGTGCATAAAGATTTTCTTTATATTTTTATAGCTATTCATCAATTTATTTGAAATATAAAAAATAAAGGCTCGTTCAGAATATAACATTATTCAACGTTGTTCATCTAAATTAATACGATTTAATATAATCCGAGACACTTTAGTCTTTGTTCTTTGTTGTTCAAGTGGGCGCCTGAAACTCAAGCTGCCTCTTCAAATCTATATACTTATTCAAACAAAATTAGCTATCAACTGGGATTTACGATGTAGTTTTCATACACAACAATAGTTTGCCCGTTAATACTTCGTAACACAAAGAGTGGGAAAACCCCATGGTATTGGCGCTATACATTTCCCATCAAGTCAATGACCTTAAAAAAGTCTCTTTTGAAATAATATTTTATAATCATTCCTATATTGGTATCTTTTTTTCTGATTTATAAAAATAATTTGTATGTCTTTCACCGAATTAGTACCTACATGCTAAATAATATTCTATCAATTATTAATTATAATTATGTTATATAGGTAGTTTCTTTTTATAAAATATTAAAATTATCATAATTATAAAAAACACATTACAATATAATCAAAATTCGATGTACATGTTTAATGGTTTTTGTTAGAATGATTAATTGATGTATCGAAATTTGTTATATTATTTAAATATAAATAGCAATATACATTTTTAAGTGCAATTGACCTACCTGTAATTTTGTGAACGGTGTAGTGGGTACCAGAACTTTAGAAGCCATCGCTAGCTCTCAACACCGCGACGCAATCAGAATAACTTAGACCACCTTTGTTATGATCTACCTCGGAGCACGCGCGCGCTTGCAATGGAAAAGATCCGACATTTGTGCACGGCAAAATAAACGACGACCTTGCCCACTACGCGTAATAATTAAAAATAAAATCGACGATAGAAACACAAATAAACACTGTATTATTTGAACCTGTGTTTTATTTTGAGGTAGTTACTTAAGGTCTACGACCGATGTGACCTTGCACTGGTGACCAAAATTGACTCGAGGAAAAGCACTTATTTTCTTAAAATTTACTTCATTTTTGGATGGTTTCTGTGAGGTTTTTCTTATTTCAGCGGTACTGTCGGCTACGACAGGTGCATGGGGACGAGAGGGCCTGAGGGGAGGGAGTGCAGGGTATCGATCGCGCCGCCGCGCACCGGTCTCGCGTAACGCTGACTCACGGGATCTGTCTAACCAACTGTGGCGCTGTGCCAACAGCATTGATGTGCTATGGCATGTCATCAAGAGATTATGCCTTAATTTTAACAATTGCATTTGGAGTAGGACTGCGACTATAGATATTTTACTTGGCTTCGCTTCGAATAGTTAATAGAAGTACCTACAAATAGTTTGATTAAATTTTAATTCTATTATCTCATTTACCCTTTAAATTATCAGTTTGATATAAAAAATACCGTTTGTAACTGCGGTAGATATTTTGTAGTATTTGTATAACTTTATACTTTGATGTAGTCAAATACAACAGAGCAAACCAAAATAAGAAAAATAAAAACAATAAATGAATGAATGATGAGTATTAATTTTCAGCAATGGAGCATCCAATCGTAAACTTTCCTTTAAAAACCAATTAGAAATTAAATACTATGTAATTAAAACTGTCTTTTCGGATGTTTTCGCGAATTTATTTTGATTTATTTGAAATAAATTCTGGAAAAAATCCGAAAAGATAGTTTTATTTAAAATGTTAAGTATTCGCGTAAATCTAAGAAAGTATTCTATGTAATTAAGTATTTATTACCGGGCTTAAGTTAATAAATGTTTTTCTCGCTCAATTTTAACAAACTTACATTAATTGTATATTTTTTGAAGACCAATTTATAACGGAAAATTAAAAGTCATGTATTTTCTGTGTAATTTTCATTACAGTTCGTTTTAATTTATAATATAATTAACCAGACATGGTGGACCTGTATATATTATAGGTACCGAAAATCTATACTAATATTATAAATGTGAAAGTTTAAGTGTTTGGATGGATGTTTGTTATTCAATAACGGCTGAACGGATCTGGATGAAATTTGGCACAGAGATAGATTATACATAGTCTCGAATATTACGAAGCTTACTTTTTATACCAGAAAAATGTACGGTTCCTGTAGGATACTTATGTTTTTGTTTACTCGATTTGTAATTCTATAAATTATAACGTAACTACATAATTAAACTATATTGATATTTTTCCCGGTTTATTTTATGACGCATGTATACTAGTCCAATAACAACAGACTTTGGTAAAGTATTAATAACAATACAGAAAAAAAAGATTTATTGATACACTAAATCATTTGTTAAAAATGGCACAGGCTGTAGATACCAACCCCTATTTAGTTGATATAAAAAGATAGCACGATAGCATCTAAATGGAAGTAGGACAGAAGCAATCGCTTGACATAATTGCAGTTCCTATTTACAATGTTACTCGTGACTACTAATGTACTCCAACGCAGGTTGGAGAAATAATTTTAAACTTTTATACGTTTAATATAATGTGGTGGGTGTTTAATATTATTATTGTCTAGAACTATCTATACATATAACAAAACTGTAGAGATTGAATGTTTGTACATAGAAAAAAATTGTTAAAAACAAGTCAGGAGGATGTAAGAAGAGAAATAGAAAAAATCTAGATTTTTTTCAATTTTTTTGTTTCTCTTTCTATTTGTACAGGCTAAATGCTAATCTTTGAAACTGTTGGACCGATTTAAAGAAAATTTGCATGGTCGTACCTTATACCCTCTGTCAACATTTTAAATACTTTTCATCCCAGAAAATTAAAGAGTTCCCGTGGGATAGTAACTGATACAGCTTAGTACACAACAAATTAAGCACCTAATTTAGTAAAATTTGGCATGCTGATACCTTATATTGCCGGTCAAAAAACACGTTACTTTTTATCCCGGAAAAATGAACGGTTTCCGTGGGATAGATCTGTTTGTGCTTTTCTGTTTGCGTTAGTCCTTATTAATATTTCAAATGCGATAGTTTGTTTTTAAATCTTTTGACGACGTGATTATTTTTAGGGATATAGTATGTGGTCAGGACAGTTAGGTCAGGTCAGACATTTGTGGTAATGATATAACTATATTACTCTGATAGATACAAACTAGAAATACTAGGAACAAACAATTACAAGGTGCTGTCAAGACAACGTATCATAGTTATCATAATAATTTATAGCTAGTTAGATTAATATTAGTTTTTGCGTTTAATATTATCGAATTGGAATAATCGAAGATAATAAATTAACATTCATGTCGATTATCTAAACATACATATTAAATATATACGTACATTAAACATAAAATAGAATAGATACAAATAGATAGAGCCTATTGATAGTAGGTAATTACAACTTTATAGGCTGTCCTCGTTTCTGTATAAGGACATAGCCTTACTTAAAATAATAATCTGTTGGACAAATCCAGCTTAACTGCTAGCATTAGAAATCAAACATAATTTTCCTGTTTAGTTACTAAGACGATACAAAATGATAATTTAAAAACTTTACAGCCCCCAGGATCTTTAAAATAATTTTGATGTGTCCGTATATTATTTATTCATATAATAAAAATATTCATATACATACCTAAGAACTATATATTATATTATCTAAATATTATAAAAAAATAATACGATTGCTACACGTACTATATATTTTTAGATTGATATTTAAACCATATATTGCTTTTTCGCGATTAGAATCTAAGTAAATTATTTCAAAGATAAAGATTTTAATAAATATTATTGATAAATTATTCAATCTTTTAACTAAACTTTATTACTTATTGTCAAGGTTTTTGTGTGATATTGGTATTTAGTTTAAGCTTAATAATAATTAAATAAACAATAAAATAAATATCCACCTCCAATTCATGATCTTCAGTACCACTCGTGATGGTTAAAATTGCTGTGCGGCTCCACTGAGGAAAATGTCGGGTATCATGCAACGGCACCGACGGTGCCCCCATCGTGACTGTCGGACGAATGCCGTATAACATGTTTATTGAATTATCTACCAAAAGGTTACAAAATTCGAAAGTTTCAAAATATTTTAATTGTCGCCCCTATATTTAGCGAGTCAATTATAGTATGTAATTTTATTAGGGTTATTTCTTCAAAATTGAAACTAATTATATAAATATAATTTTTAAACTTTCAACATTAAATCAATATTTAGATTGCAACAAATATCAAAATTATTTTTTCATGAAAAGTTTTTCACTTTGTTGTACTATTGAACTTGTAGCGTCAATCGTTGCCTAGCAACCAAATTTTCATGCGTTCGGATACTGTTACTATATTTTTGTTAATGTTAAAGAAACAGAAACTAATCATAATGCTGTAAATATTTTTTTAATTATGTAAATAAATAGTTTCTAATGTCGGTGGTAAATATAACGGATCCTTTTTATGGTTTGTTCTAAATTATAGATAAAAACCTTTGGTTTTAATTCTTGCAGTAAACTGTGTATGGATTCGAATGTCATAAATTTACTTCCTGTTAGTTGTCATATGGTTTTTAAATTTCGATAATAATATTGAAAAATAAATTACATACATTCGATTTTCCACTTCATTTACGATTTCAGTTGTATATTTTTTTGTATAATAATGGAGACATGTGTAAGAGGATTTGCTTATATGCCTGAAACAAAAGCAGAAACAAGCGATTTAAAGGTACGTTATCAAGTTGAATATAAGTTTGTTTTTTAAAGTATTATTGTAATATAAAATAATATTAAACTGTTTAACTGTTGTTTGTTTTTGTAACTATTTTATTTATTAGAATAGTTAGTAATATGATTTGATTAATTTCATATTTAAGTATGTAGAAAGTGAAAACTTAGAAAGAACTTGGAAAATTACTAGAAGAGAACGTCTAAAACGACAAGAACAGAAAGTATGGGAAGAATTTATAAAGGAACAAGATATTGTGCAAAATATGTGCCAAGGTACTTTGGATTAATTAATATAACACTCAATTATTAGCCAATTTATAATGATTAATTCTATTTAAAACATTGCTACATTTGTAATTTATTTCATGTCTTCATTTACAGATGATCCTTATCAATTCTTAGACCAAGTACCTGAAGATTGTATAAAGGAACTTTTAGATATAGAGCTACAGAAAATGAAGCAAGAAGCCATTGAAGAGATTCAGGCAAGATATAGATTTTTTTTGTATTACATATATTGAAAATTAGCTTACTTATTAATGTATTAATCTCAAAATGTTACAGTATGTATGGATGTATGTAAATACATGATATTCTATTATTTGAATTTAGTTAAATTATGTTTACCAAAAAAGCAAATTTTAATTGAGCTAAAAAATAGAACATTTTTTAGGTCATAACTGAAGAAATAGAAGAACCTAATCAAAATGATAATCAACACATAGTAACATTTATTGAGAATGAAGACCAAGAGTGTGATATGTTTCATGTGTTTGATGATGAAAAAGACGATGAAGCATCTGGTGAATATAAAAATATAAATATTATTTTTACAATACTAAAAACTATAATTTGATAATAAAAACATTTTTATTGGAATTTATTGATATGTTCCACCTTTATTGCTTATTTGAATGAATTTTTCACTTTATCAATACTAATATTATTACTGCGAAAGTAACTTGTGTCAGTCTGTCTGTTGCCTCTTCACGCTTAATCCGCTGAACCGAGTTAGATGAAATTTCGTATGGAGATAGTTTGAGAAGGACATACAATAGTTTTTATCTCGGAAATCATCCCTTAAGGGGGTGAAAACGGAGTGGATCAGAAATTTGTAAGGAACATAAGTTTTTTATTTTTAAAGTACTTACCTACATTCGTCATATCTTGGTTAGGTTAGGTTAGAACATTTAAGATTCCTCATATCTGGGTTAGGTTAGGTTAGAACATTTAAGATTATTTATTTATTATTCCTCATATCTGGGTTAGGTTAGGTTAGAACATTTAAGATTATTTATTTATTATTCCTCATATCTTGGTTAGGTTAGGTTAGAACAGTTGCCATAAATGACTAGAAAACTAGAAAATTCGAATTTCACGCAAAGTACAAATAAAGACAATCATCATTGGAGATCATTTTGACAATTGAAAGTGACGTTTTGTCTCCAAGTGTCTAAATGGTAGTAATGTCAAAATAATGTATGGAAATGTTGTAACTTTAAGTCTCAATAACTTTTTACTCATACGTTCGCGGACAATTTTTATTTAACATTTCGACTCCCTATCACGTCCCTTATCCAGAAATACCACCCACTCCGCTAGGGGCCAAGTCCCCAATTCTAAACGGCCGCCCTTACCTACTTTACTATAGCTATGTATATAAAGTATAGGGACGAACCCAAGCGAGAGTGAGTCACTAGTTCTAAATAACTAAATCTATCTATAATTTAAATAACCTAATCATTTTTCTCAGGTCCTGAAGAAGAAGCTCTAAATGACTCAATCAACAGTCCTCCATGCACTGTGCGAGAGAGACAAGAAGAGAAAAATTCCCCATCCAGGCATAGTAGTCCTGATAAAATATCATGTAAATTTATTTGTGTATACTAGTTACTTGCCCTTGCTTCGTTTGAATGCATCCTTCACACACACACATAGCAGCACAAGCTCAGGTACAACATGTAAAGCTGCCTAAGTATGGAAAAAGCCATGCCAGAAGAAAAAGAACACAAGCCTCATAGCTTACCATGGAACTAGATGGTGCTGTGTTAATGTTCCAACATATTTATTTATTTATTATGTGTATTTAACAAAATCTTATGATTTCAGGTAAATCATCTACGGAGAATGTGACCAACATGATTGAAAACAGCATCTACTGCGCCAAAGTTAAGGAGCTGAGGATGAAGATCAATGAGGAATTGACAAATATTATGTAATTGAATCTTACTTAATATTATAAATATGAAAGTTCAGATGTTTGGATGTTTGATACTCAATCACGCCAGAACATCTAAACGGATCTTGATGAAATTTGACACACAGATAGATTATAGTCTAGAATAGCACATAGGCTACTTTTTATCCCGGAAAAATACACGGTTCCCGTGGGGTAGATTTGTTTTTGTTTTTTATTTTTTTGTCGTACATTTATAGTCAAACCCTAATCATTTTTATAGATTGAAACCAAATAAGAATTATTATTAAATCGCTTTACTTTACTTTGAGTTTTTTCAAAAAAGATATAAAAATTGCAGTTTTTCAGAAAATACCTATATAACATATTAACTTAAAAAACTAAACCTTATCTAAATACAAAGATGGAAATGGTGAGAGCCATTTCTGAGATACAAGACATATTTTATTTAGATATACAAGAAGTGCTCGTATGATATTTATTGGATGTATACTTTACAGACAATAATTAAAATATTTTTGACCAACTTTATAATTGAAGTTACTATAATGTGTAATAGGGTTTCATACCCGAAGGGTGCCAACCCTATTACTAAGCCTCCGCTGTCCGTCCGTCTGTCAGATGGTTGTATCTCATGAACCGTAATAGGTAGAGAGTTGAAACTTTCACAGAGTATGTGCTTCTATTGCCGCTATAACAGTAAGTAATAAAAATAAAATATAAGAAACATTTTTTTAACGTTCGTAATCGATCATCGAAGTTAATATACCACATACATAGAGTAAAAGTCATATTAATAAAAAGTACATGTACGATGGTACAGATCTTGGTGTACAAATTGGACTCGCAGGTGACCGATTTATTCATGAAGAATTTTATGTAACTAATATACAGATTAGTGAGAAAAAAATAATTATTTCTTATAAATTTTGTATACGTCTTTCTCTACTTTTCAACCCGTCTTCTTCAAAAAAGAGGAAGTTTTCAATTCGTCGGAATTTTTTTTTCAATTATGTTCACTGATTACTCGAAGACGCCTGAATCGATTTGTAAAATTCTTTTCTTTTTTCAAAGGATATTTTAAAGTTTTTTTTTAATGAACATATTGAACATAATAACATACATATTAAAAACATTTAGATCGTAAGTAGCTGCATTAGTATAAACTGTGTCGCAGCTTACGCCCACCTCGGGACAATAAATATATGGTCCCATTTAAATTTTATGGAAATCGGTCAAGGGGTTATTAAAAAATCAAGAATAAATTAATTTTAGATAAATGGCTTAATTGAACATGTTATTAAAAAACTTCCTTCTTACAAATTACCTGCTTATTACGTCTACACTAAAAATGGAAAAATAAAAACTTGAAAAAAACAACAGACTTCCAGGCACTTAAATGTAAAAAATAACTAAACGGGGGTTTTTATTTAGAAAAGATACTTACTCAGATATTTTCGAAGTCCGTGTGCTTTAATTTGTATCGGCTGGCACCGAATTAGAAAATATCTGATTAGCTATCTATTCTAAATGAATTCCCATTTAGTTATTTTTTTTAAAGTTTTTAGACTAAAAGTTAATTTTATTTATATTCACAGAATATTCTTAGAGACACGAGATATTATGAACATTGACCCCACGGATATACCCAAAATGATGAAACGCTCCGTCGAGTTCAGCGCTCGCTTCAACAGGGTCCATTTGTATCAGCTACAAAGACAAGTTAGTTATTACTTTGCTGGTTATTGTTTGGTCGCAGGTTCCATTCCTGCACAGTTATCTAAGTATCTGGGCGACTGACCTACGCTCGGCGTTTTTTCGGAAAGGACAGTTAAATATATAGATGAGACTGCTTTATTTAAATACATCACCTATTAGAGCACTACAATTTATTTCTATTTTTTATCAATACTTCTAAATGGCGAAGCAATATTCTTTTAAATGACAGAAACTGTTGTATAACTAGATTACTCACAACTGTGATTGCGAAATGGTTCCGTGGGTCTGTAACATTTTTGAGAACTAAGAAATTTAATAAAAAATACGCGTATTTATAATATTGGCACAGAATAAAAATTCAATTTCGATATTTGCCAAAGAAGTTTTACTTCAACCGCGCGTAAAGGTTACACGCACCCATTTTTATTTATATCCTGACCATGAGTATGGTATTAGTATGACGTATCTATCCTAGATGGCGGACATCGAGCGCCACGCTCGCCGCGCGCCGCCCCTCGCGCGGCGCACGCACGGCCGCGCGCAGCGGGCGCGCGCCGCCGCGCTGCACGCCGCGCTGCTGCACGCGCTGCAGGTGAGCGCGCACTGCCTGACGAGTGGGCGGGGCGGGGGTATATATAGGCGGTGAAGATAGAGATAGAAGGATAAGAGGAAGATGGCGTAGTGCGAGTGACATGTATAGCTGTGACAGAGAGAGAGGGAACGATGGTGTGGTGTTGGTGCGAGTGAGATATACAGCTTTGGTAGAGAGAAAGAGAAAGAGAAAAGGGAGGACTGAAATGTACAGCGTGTGAGGTGGAAAGATGTATATAGTATTAGTATATGAAATGTATTTTGTTGCTGGGGTGGGATAAGTAGAAAGGAATAGAAAGTCACAGGACTAAACATAAAGCTATACAATAATGTATTAAAACATATATATATCTTTATATATATAATTCTTCTGTGAGTGTGTATGTCATTGAACTTCTCTCAAACGACTGGACCGATTTTGATGAAATTTTTTGTGTGTGTTCAAGGGGATCTGGGAATGGTTTAAATTCACAATTGTACACGGTAGGTGGCGCTGCTGTCGGTGTGACAAAGGGTTTGTTTTTTTAGTAGTTTGATCGCGGGCGAAGCCGCAGGTACAGCTAGTTTGTATATATATATATATTAATAGATTATTCATTACTGCTGTAAGTAAATAAATTTTAATAAGTTTATAGCAAAGAAATAAAACTAATGCTTAAAAAATACAAAATAATAAAAAATATTTTTATTACCTACATACTCGTATATTACCAAAAAAAAATTTATTAATACATATAACATAAAATTTCACTTACTTTTTATTGAAAGTAAACGACATATATAGCAAAATTGAAAATAGTAGCATAAACAGCAAATCACGTGACCATTTTTGACTTTGACATTTTTTTTTGGCGGGCTTCGTCTATTATATCGAAGCCTTTAGTCTAAATGTGGAAAATAACAAACATTACGTATCTAGGTATTATTCGATTTTCCTGCAACAAAGATAGTGTTTCCAGGATACCTACTCTAGGTATCCTAAGAATTCTCATACACTGTAGGTGATAACAATCAAGCGTGTTATCTATGTGCTGTGCAAGTTAATGAATACCTTATTTCTTAAATATAGGGGCATAACTAACAGTTTTATCTCCCAGGTGCTATCCAAGTCCCTGCAACAAACGTGGTGTATGCGGGAGAGCGCGGAGACCGCGCGCGCCACGGCGCGGGCGGCGCGCGCGGCCGCGGGCCTCGCGCCGGACTCGTGTGACGATGTTAGTGGGGGGCTCTGTCTTTGGTTGTTTATTCATTCATTCATTCATGCATTTATTCATTCGACCAGTGTACAGTCACCACAATTATATTAATAAGGTTTGTTGCGCTCCGATATACGCAACGGTAGGCCCCGCCGGCGAGAGCCACGGCGAGCGATCATTACGTGACGGAGCACCCACTTGTCTCTCAAAGCCGTGGACGACAGGACCACTTTAATTTAAATAATTCATTTTCCTTACCCTTTTTATATGTAAACGCGTAATAAAGATGACAATTGTTAACCAGCGTCCAGCGTTAAAATATTATATACAGTCCATTTTTGATTTATACGTCCACCAGGACCCCAACAGGTTACAACTTTTATTTCTTAGGTAATTCTATTCCAACCGCGTTCGGCTACACTTGCCCATAATTAATTTGTAATTGATTGTAATATATATAATTCTTTTTTTTTAAGTGCTTTGATTAAAATCGCTTAACAGTTCATTCGTTCATTTATGCATCAATTCATTATTTCCTTCATTTATTCATTTATTTTTTTGACCATTCATTCATTCGATGATTCATTCATTTATTCACTGGTTTATCTCACTATCTTTCTAACCCTATTTTCAAAATTACTTACGGTCGATGTTATTATTTTAATGTATAGTTATTGGCTAGAAATGGAATTAGTAGTTTGATCGTGTTCATTTGTCTGTATGTCTGTAGGTTAAAGACTGCTCTTGTGGATAGTATTGGTTTCATATATAACATGTATGTACATATTATATTAATGGTAATTTGGGTAATATTGCAATCAAATTATACAAAAACTCAATGCATGTAGCTGAGAAGCAAAAATTTTTTTTGTGTTCACATAAAATTGTTCAAAATGAGATTACTTGTTTGTTCAAGCCAATAAGCGACAAGTTATTTATAACAGACCATAATGTAAATTTCTTTTAAAAGCTCTTAAACAAATGGCCACATAGTAATATAATACATGTTCTGTTTTTAAGTTTAGATTAGTTTGTTATAAATAATTGTTTGTAGGTAATCCCAGAGACCTGCGACAAGCTGGAAGTAACATTAAACGAGTACACGGCAAAGATGTCCGAGTATTTGAACAGTATTGAAAATACGGTGAGCTTTTAAAGTGACTTGATCTTTACAAAAGTAAATTATTATAACTTACTATATATTACTAATGATATATATATATATATATATATATATATATATATATATATATATACTTGCTTCGTTCGGGTGCATCCCTGCATGCTTTTTTGTCGTTATATAAATTTCTATATAAACTATTTGTTCATAAAGTATTGGTCCAATTGTGAGAGAGATATACGCCTGCGAAGGTTCCGGTCGCAAAAGAATGTATTTATTTGGACGTTTATCTTTTCATTCATAAACTATTTAAGCTCAGTGATGCTCAGTGAAGCGAGTGTTGCTAGTATAAAGATGGCGTCACCTTTTGGCAACTTTTTGCGACATTTAAATGGGCTTCTACAGTCCATTTTTGACATTAAAATGAATTTTGAATGATATTCCTTCAAAATATGAAAAAGAATGCAAGTGTGAACCTGTTTATATTTAAGTATAATCACAGCAAAATAAATACACATTAAAAAAGGCATGGAAGATATATTTGTTGCGTTACATACTCATACTACGACTATGTCTGTTGCAGCTATATTTAATTATTTTGATCTATTTTATTAAAAATATAAATAAAATTCGTGCTTAAAATTTAAATTTTCTTTTTACAAATTTGTCAAAAATGTAATTTATAAAAAGTTGTAAATGTAGTTAATGAAAAAGGTCTTAATAATGTGTGTGTGTGTGTATATATATATGTTAGTGCCTACACAACAAAAGTAAACTAAAGAGTAGCATATATATTACTTTATAGTTTTTTTTAAGGAGTGATACGTATTGATAAATTGATTGCATTTTTTTCTTATATATTTTCAGAGTGTCTCCTGTTCAAGAAAATCAAGCAAAGTCAAAAATAAAAAGAAGTCTATAGGGACTTGGTCCAAGTCTCTAAATAAGTCATGTAAGTGTTATTTTTTACCGATATTCGAAATAAGAGGGGGTTTTTTTATTAGTAAAGCTGGCAACATTTGCAATTCAATTTCAAATTGGATAATTCTTTTTTTTTGTGTTTGTTATTGTCAGGAGAAGTTTTGTATAGAAAAAATTAAAATATTGTTTTTTTTTTACTAAAGTAAGATTTTCTATAAAGCTCATGATATAAAAAGTGAGTGAGTAAAATAGTTTTTTATATTCCGGATATCATCCCTTAAGGATGAGAATTGGGATGAAAGTTTGTATGGGGAATCAAGCCAGGGACGAACCCGAGCGAAGCGAGGCTGAGTCGCTAGCATTTATATAATTTATATATCTTCTAAAACCTTGTGTCTCCCGTGACCATGATTGCTGTAAAACATTCGAAACGTCGGGCACCAAAAAACAAAATAAACCCGCGAAAATCCAAAAAAAAAACAGTTTTATTTAAAAAGTCCAATAATAATAAAGTTATTTTGAATTTGGTATGATTTTTTTAATATAAAACCCATGGTTGTATATTAGGAAATATAATTTTACTTTACTTTCCAGTTACAAACACAGACGCGCGTCTGTCCATGTACTCTCTGGACACTCTCAGAGTCAGTCTGAACCAAAAATCATCTAGCTCCAAAGATAACTCCAGGTGAAATATTAATTATATAAAATTATTTTATTTATATTAGAATATTTACATTAAAACATTTGAGCGCACTTTTAATATTTTTTTTGTGAAAACAACTTTAAACATTGCATTTAAGGTTCAATTTACATTGTTATACATTTATTTCATCTAGAATAACTAACCTAAACACAATGGTGACAGTTTTAAGGGAAGTTTTGCATGGGATTGTGTATCTAGAAATGTTTGATCGATGTTTTGTTAACGATTAATATATTCAGTGATCCCAAAGGTATTACTTGATACGTTATAATCGTACCGTGGAATCTTGCCAGGAACATATAAAAAATAGTTCAATTTAATATTAATAGATGGCGTTGTACGAAACGAATTGTTATTGGTTTTTGTGGAAAATCAGTACCAAGCTTAAACCCAGATATGTTATGTTACTATTATAATATATTGTTATTTAAAAAAATATACTAAGCAAAAAAATAATAATATAATACAATGATGCGTTCTTAAATCAAAATTTCTCAATAACACTGATACATAATATTATTTATATAAATCATCAGTCATTGGGTTTCATTCATAGATGGCGCTGTTTGCATTTCATCAATTGTTTAGCAATAAACGTTTGCTTATTTAGGTTGTTTTAAACAAATAATAATAATTATTATTGATGCATTTGTAGCGGAACATCTAAAATCCACGCGAGCGGCGGCCGGAGTAAAGATTTTGATAAAGGGGAGTTTGCTAAAGATCAAAATAAAAAGCCTCGGTAGCGTCTTCATTTTTTTGTTTTTCTATTTCAGTTATTTGTTTATTTGATTACTAGGTTTTGCCCGCGGGTTCGCTTCCATTGTAAACGTGACATGGAGGGGAATCGGTCTAATACCATACTAATATTATAAATGTGAAAGTGTGTATGTTTGTTTGTTTGTTTGTTTGTTTGTTTGTTTGTTTGTTTGTTTGTTTGTTTGTACTTCTTTCACTTCGTAACTGAGTGAAACAAATAACTTTCTTAAATTTACGTGTTTTATATTTATTATATATTTTTATTTAAAACTAGGTACGTTTTAATTTTTTTGAGTGGAATTCTGTTTTTTCCTAAAATAAATGTGGCCTAAGTTACTTCTTATAAAATTAGCTATCTGCCGGTAAAAGTCCCGTCAAAATCGGTCCAGCCGTTCCGGAGATTAGCCGGAACAAACAGACAGGCAGACAAAAATTTAAGAAATTTTGTTTATCTTATATGTACCATATTATATACTTTCATATGCATTTAGTATAAAGCTGTTATTTACACATTACAAACAGACAGTTCAATTTTATTTATCTGTATAGATTTCATTTTTATTCATTTGCTAAGTTGAATGCGGTTAATATATTTGATTTTAAGTAAAACATATACAATTAATAACAAAATTATTCATATATACTTTAGCAGCCGGCGGCCGGCGCTCGACGTGCGCACGCTCGTGCAGGGCGTGGCGGTGAGTGCGCTTTGTATACACATCATTGTTGTAATATATATTGTTTTTGTATAGTAAATAAATCAATTTGTTTAATTATGTATGTATTAAATGAAAATGTGTGTGTCTACGCGTCTGTACACAAGTTTTCTCTCTACTCCTGTCACTCACACTTCGGCAATAGTATTATTACTATTGACGCTCCACCGTCGCGGCGGGCGCGGCGCGAGGCGCCAACTTCCCAACTCCGGGCTGTTACTGAATTTTAGTCCAATCCGAAACTCGAACTCGGGACCTCCGAATCTGCGGCCGTGAATTCTAGACCACCGAAACCGTGCAATTTATACTCATTTATTAGATATAAATAATACTAGCGGACCCGACAGACGTTGTCCTGTCTACACGTCTTTAATTTGAAAATTTCAAACTTTTTTTTAATAATTTTTTTGATGAAAATTATTATTCAAATTGTGAATCTAAACCATTCCCAGATCCCCTTGAACACACACAAAAAATTTCATCAAAATCGGTCCAGTCGTTTGAGAGAAGTTCAGTGACATACACACTCACAGAAGAATTATATATATAAAGATATAGACTATATTTGCAATGTTTAATCTAAAATCAGATTTTTATTTTTTTTATTGAAATAACTTTGAAACCATTAAAAATCATGGGACATACACTAAATAAATAGATATAAAATAAAAAAAGCAAACTAACAAACACACAATCTTTTATAATATAAGTCTCGATTCCTATATACATGTATATTTTGCTCGCCAGTGTGCGTCCAGCCACGTCAGTCGGGACGCGAGTCCTCAGTCCACTCCGAAGAGTAGAAACATTACTCCACGACTAAACAAAAATACACCAAGAACACCTAAAAATAATAATAAAAAACTAAACACGCCTCGATCTAGAGTAAGCAATGCTAATACTAAAAATAAAAATGCATTAAAAGAAGTTACCAGAAATAATGAGAAATTGGATAATAATGATATGGAACATTCCAGAATGAATGCAGATTTTAATAGAAATATTCAAAGTACTATAGAAGGTATTGAAACAAATGATGCGAAAGAGACGGACGATGTCAAAGTAAAGTCCGTTGAAAAGAAAGAGATGGGAGATGTGAAATCAAATGTGCGAGAAAGAGAGAACGATATTGAAGAAAAGGAGAGTAGGAAGAATGCTAAACCGAAAGAGGAACGGCGTGAGAAGAATCATGAAGGAACTAAGGTAAGTGATACTAGAATATAAAATTCACTGTCATATAATTATATACAATTTGATTTAATACTAGTAACTACCCGTGACTTTACGTGTTTTTTTTTTAATTTTATACTTTCTTTTAACGTACGGTAAGATTCAAATTTCGAGTAGAAATAATTTATAATAATAATAATATTAATATGAAATCGATTTCTTATCTTTTTAAAAACATGCCAATGATCCCAAGATTTTAAAATTATTTTGACATGATATTTGTAGGTTTATAAATAATAACACAGATAATTAAAAAAAAAACAAGTGATTTATTTGAAAAATAAAATAAAGTATCGCGAAAGCGTAAAATTGCAAACAGTTCTTGTAAAAATTGTCAGCCCAAAGCATGAACTTAACCATAACAATTACAATATTAAATACTTAAATTATTTACAACGAAATGTCTTTGATTGAAGCAAAGCTTTATCATTTTTAGCATAGTATTATATAATTGGGAAGAATTTTCATTTGTTCACTCAATATTTGTGTTTCATTTATATATATATACATATATATATATATATATATATATATATATATATATATATATATATATATATATATATATAGTTGCATGAAGAATTGTAATATAAACTTTAAATTTTACAATATCAGATGAAAACGTCAAAGCTTCATAATAGGTACAGATTAAAATATATTATTTGATTTACATAATTTATTATCTGTATTTCTTTTGCTTTACTTTAAAAATGCCACTTTTTTATTATAGTTGGCGAAAAATTGCGTTTTTAAAAGTGTTTTTTTTTATAATCTCTACTAGAATACTTGATTCTGTATTTTGTGTTTATTTCGTATAAAAATTGTAATAGTTTTTTGCAATAATTTCCATTTTTTTTATCAAAAATATGTCTTTTTTTTAATTATGCATGTATTGCTCTATGGGCATTGTGATAAGTGCACTTTGGATTTCGATGGGTGGTTATATTTTTATAATATACGTTTAATAAATAGCGTTTGTTTGTTTGTCTGTCTGTTTATGCGCATTTGCCGCAAAGTGGCTTGTTGTCCAGTACTGAGAAAGTTGAGTCGGTGACTGGGTTTCGGCATTTCTGGAAAATAGAAATATATTTATTTATATATTTTTTCGGGAAACAAACAGTGTAATAATCCTTATATATATATAGTTATAATCTAATATATTCACACAACAGCAAAGTTTATACAAATATGTCACAGCAAGAGTAAACATGCGATATGTATTAAAGTTAGTTTAAACTTTAAAAACAAAATAAAATTGTAACAAAAATTACAGCAAAATAAAAACAATATAAAAAGGACAACAAAAAAATGACATAAGTGAACATTAACTATATAAATAAAAAAAATATAAAAAAAAGTAAAACAAACTCTAACAGAACACAATAAAAATAAAAAAAAAATACAATCTATTATATATACGAATATACTATGTTATATATCAGTGACTTGGCTTTATCTCAGTGATAAGAGGATTTTCTTGTTTTTGCCTAATTCATAGCAAACAAGAGATAAATAAATGCACACTTTTATCTTTTTTAGATGATGATGTTACGTGATGTATCGTCATTTTAGATTTCGGGACGAAATATGAGTTTTTCGTATAATTACACTAAAATTATAAATATTAATGAGAGCAATTTAGAACTAGTTTTTGACGATGGATCCTTTTGGCGTTGAACATGGATAAAAACTACCCAAAATCCGATTATACTCAAACCTGTTGGACAGTTATATCTTTTACGTTTATAATATTTATACTCTCTACATAATATATACTTGACCCAAGCCGGGACTTGAACCCATGGCCTCTGGTCTGCAGCCATATATATTAGCTACTAGACCATCGAGGCAGCTAGGCTATGGTATTAGTATGATACTCACAGTGCACGTGAAACACTCGCGATGCCACTTGTTGTCGAGCGCGATGATGGCCTTGTCGACTATAGGCGTGGCGCAGCCCGCGCAGCGCGGCGCGAACTTGTCCGCGTAGCACGACGAGCAGTAGGGACGGCCCGCCTGGAAACAGATAGATAGACAGATAAATACTCTATTACATACAAAAAACTTACAAAAAATAAATAAAACCGACTTCCAGGCACTAAAATGTAAAAAATAACTAAACGGGGGTTTTCATTTAGAATAGATACTTAATCAGATATTTTCGAAGTCGGTGCCAGCCGACGCATAGAAAATCTAATACATTTTGATACGTAAAATACATATTTACCCATTAGATATTCATATCTTAAAATATTGTCCGCTGATGATAAACTAGGGATGAAGAAAGCTCCCAATCAGTACGGTTTTTTTCGAAATCTCCAACAAACATCGTTATAATTGTAAATTTACACAAAACCTTAATGAATTATACATTTGAACCTTCCTCATGAATCACTCTGCTACTCCTTCCATTGGTGAAAATCTTACCAAAATCCGTTCCGTAGTTTTTGAGTTTATCGCGTTCAGACAGACAGATAGACAGACAGACAGAGCTTTGCCCACGTGTGACGTGTTAAATTACAATTATTTATTGTATAATACTAACTAACTTTATTTCTTGAATTTTAAATAAAAAGAAATATTTATTTTAAAGTCATTGTTTAATAAACATACCTATTAGTTTATTTAATTAAAATTAAACTAAAAACAAATGCGAGCTCTCGAAGGGCGCGTTCGAAGGAATCGTTTATATTTTAATTTGCACGGCAGCCTTTTTGAAATTTGCCATCTTGGTTTTTTATTACTTGTTGTTATGGCGGCAATAGAAATACACTTGGCACCCTTCGGGTACGGAAGCCTTAACAGCAATTATTTAATTTATTGTTCATATAAATCATACAAACTCAAACACACCAACAAAAAGCTCCACATTACCTGCTCCATAAAGCCGCCCCCGCCCAACTCCTTCATGCAGCCGCCGCACACGAAGTGGTGCGCGTGCCACGACACACCCAACGCTTGGATCACGCGCTGAAATAGATTAAAATAGATAATTATATACTTGTTAAAACTCTTACACTGACTAACTGACTGGCAATACATGGTCTAGAAACATGAGTGTTTGCACAAGAGTTACTTCAAAAACGGTAGAATATATAAATCATAATATGCTTATATGGTCGATCCCACAGTATAATTTATTATTTTTTTTCCTCAAGACTAAGGTCTTTAGCCAGTGCGTTTTACGCGTAGGAGCCGAACCTCAATACTACAATAAATAACTTTTTGGGATATTGTGCCACTATCGTCGTTCACTTCAACTGTCATTTATCAGATGCAGTAATATTGCAAATCGGTCGTGAGTTCAATTCCCGACTATGTAATATGTACCTATATGAGCGATTTTATACACGTATGTAATATGTATGTGTACACGTTTGGCTCAGTTTGTAGTGACCATACTTACTGTGCCAGCGGTTGCGGGTTCGAATCCCGCTGGGGACATTCATTTGTGTGATGAGCACGAATGTTTGTACTTCAGTCATGGATGTTTATATTTATAATATGTATGTATTTAAAGTTATATATGTGTAGTGTATCAACTATCTGGTATCCATAACACAAGTCTCGTAGCTTACCATGGAACTAGATGGTGCTGTGTGTTAATATCCCAACATATTTATTTATTTATGTACAAATGTGATGATAAGATAGACGTACTACGCAAAAGCTTGTAAATCATTCCGCACACACGCCACACTGTTGTTGTCCACACTCCCTTTATTGACATTAATGATCCAATTATTGTTTAAGAACCATCGTTTTATCATATATTTTTTTGGTAGACATTGCCTCATGTATCTTCTTGGAGAAAACATATTATACCTACCTATCGCCATTTTATGTTGTATGCAATAAAGGATGAATAAATAAATAAATAAAAATAAAGGATTCAATTCAATGTTATTGTCAATGGTTTCAAAGTGTAAAAAAAAATAAAAGAAATCTTCTATTTAATCGATGACAACTCGAAACCCAATTGCCGTTTACTGTTTACTTCAGATAAGTTTCCTCAGACTAAAGAATATTATAAGGTCCGCCAAAAAAAATCTAAGTCAATAATAGTAGCGTGGTTTACTGTTTATGCTACTATTATCGATTTTGCCAAACATATCATTTTCTTTATACTAATAATAAAGATTATATGGTAATTGGTCGTTAAGTTACAATTATGAGAAGAAGAAAATATGAAGAATCATCATAAAAATAAAATTATATTATGACGTATTTTTTTTAAGTTTCAGTTCTCTTTCCCTTGAAAGAGTTAATATTAGATTATTTTTTCTCTTTATTATAATACTAGCATTGCCCGCGGCTCCGCCTGCGTCCAGATGACCAAAAACCAAATTCTTTTACATATTGGTATTTAGTATACTCTTACAGTGCATTTTTTGTATTTTTTCTCAGAAATGAGATATTTTCCCGTGGTAAAAAATATCCTATATGTTGACCCGGATAACCAGCTATCATCATACTAAATTTCATCACAATCTGTCCACTGGTTTTCTCGTGATGCGGTAATAGACAGACAGACAGATAGACAGACAAACAAAAATTCTAAAAACTATAGATTCGAACTCTGTATCGATAATAATGTCTATTTCAATTAGATTTTCCCAAAAATATTCAATGTACAGATTCGACTTAGTTACAATTTTATTATATGTATATAAAACCCGTTAGCTATTTTTATTTATTAACATTTATTCACTCATCACAGCAATCGATATTCTATCAATATTTGTATTCTGTTTTAAAACATTACATATTATTTGAAATCATTATTGTTTGGCTTCATACTTAGTTCTATGACACTCTGTCGATATTATTCTTTAATCTGAGGTTCATTCCGGTCCGGAGGCGGAACCCCGTTATTAATGCTAAGGGGCATTCGTTCCGCAAATAGCGCTATTGTTTCTGTGATGACATCACCTTTGTTTGTGAAAAATATACACAACCCGTGCTATGCGCCTGCGCATCTTATAATCGTTTAAATGTTATAGCAGACTTGAGATAATTAAAATGTACATAACTATAGTGTTTTCTATGTCTGATAACCGTGGGATTATTTGAGAATGAGAATTTCATCAAAATTTGTACAGTAATTTAATTTTAGTTTGCACTAACTTTAGTTATATCGTATTGTTTATACATCAGCAAAAAGTAGAGAAGAGATTAGTTAGCGATACTCTATTGTTCTCTCTGTTTGCTGTGGAAGAGATAATTGGGTCATTAACACACTATAGTTCCATGGTAAGCTACGAGGCCTCTGTTATGGTTACCAGATAGTTAATACACAACACATATTATATAACATTAAATACACACATATTATAAATATAAACACCTATGAATAGAGTACAAACATTCGTGCTCATCACACAAATGAATGCCCACAACGGGGCTCGAATTCGCGACCGCTGGCACAGCAAGTAGGGTCACTACAAACTGAGCCAAACGTGTCGTCAAGATGATATAGATGTTATCATCAATAGATAACAGATATCACCCATGTAGGTAAATGGCTCAGTGAAATTGACCGTGACAAAAAATTGTTTAAGAAAATTATAATATAACAAACATTGCCCGCGGCTCCACCCGCGTTCAGATGATCAAAAACCAAATTCGTAGGTTTTACATATTATTATACTCTTACATTGCAGTTTTTGTATTTTTTCTCAGAAATTAGATACTTTCCCGCTGGAAAAAATATCCTATATGTTGACCCGGATAACCAACTATCACCATACCAAATTTCATCAAAATCCCTCCATTGGTTTTTCTGTGATGCGGTAACAGACAGACAAATAGACAAAAATTCTAAAAACTATAGATTCGGCCTCTGTATCAATTATAATGTTTATTTCAATAAGATTTTCCAAAAAATATTTAATGTACAGATTCGGCTTAGTTTCAATTTTATTATATGTATAGATTATTAAAGTATGAAAAGTGTAATTACATAAGTTGCAGCGAAAATTGCATTTGAAATATGAGTGAAATAAAGTTCTTAAACGATGGCATAATAACGAAGTGTTTACGATCGCGTCGGTCTTTCTATTTCGAACCATTCATTCTCGTCACTAGTGATGTACTAGTCGTTAAAATGTTGCTTTTGGAACTGAGCGGTGTTTATTAAGATATTTTAAGTTCAATTATCACTTTCACGAGTCTAAAAAGCACTGCATAGGTGTATAATAGACTATTTTTTGTACGTGACTTTGTTCGTGTAAGTAAATAAATAAATAAATAAATATGTCAGGACATTAACACACAACACCATCTAGTTCCATGGTAAGCTACGAGGCTTGTGTTATGGATACCAGATAGTTGATACGTTATACATATATAACTTTTAAATACATACATATTATAAATATAAACACCCATGACTGGAGTACAAACATTCGTGCTCATCACACAAATGAATGCCCCCAGCGGGACTCGAACCCGCGACCGCTGGCGCAGCAAGTAGGGTCACTACAAACTGAGCCAAACGTGTCGTCAAAAAAGTGTAGTAGATTCATCAATAAAATGCCTAATTATATGTACTAATTCAAGATATAGGCAGTCTCAATTCAATTCTCATGTTAATGTCTTCAAAGCGTGCCAATTGAGCTCGCATTACTTCGCCAATATCACCTAGAAGAGCCACCTCATTCTCTTACTGAAAGAAATTAACTTAATAGTCATTGTATCTAGGTATTATTATTATTATTTATGTTGGGTGTGGTGCCGAGGTCAGCCCTAGCTACGTCGACCAGTTTTGGTCCCTTGTAGCTCCCTTTAGAATGAGTTCAAAGTTCTCCGCTTAGTCCTGTTGACTCCAGGAACTTCCAGATTTTCTGAGCGGGGAGCATCCGTATCTCTTCCGGTTGCATAATATGCTGCCCTTGTATCTAGGTATACCCAAAAATCTAAATGCGCGCACTCCCTTACAGTCTAATAAAGTTAGTTGTGAATGTGTGAGTATTTAGATACATATTAATGAGTTTTTAACGTTTTTAAGTAAATTGGATAAAAAACAAACTAAGAAAATAAGACTAAAATTGTAGTACCTAAAAGATAGCAACTCAATATTTTATATTAAAATTGATTTTTATACTAGATACGTTTTAACGGTTAGTATAGATTTCTCAGGGATGTGATATTTTCCCGTAATAAAGAATATTCTATAGACCAAATTAACCAGCTATTATTATACCAAATTTCATCAAAACCTGTCTAGTACTTTTCTCGTGATGCGTTCCCAGACAGAGAGACAGACAGACAGACAAAAACCCTAAAAACAATCTGTATCGATAATAATGACATTTGATTTCAATAAGATTCTCCAAAAAAAATATTTAATATACAGATTCGACTTAGAATTTTTTATATGTACCTATAGATAATTTTAATTAATGCTAATATTGAAAACGATTGGTATCTTTAATTTTGCCATAAAAGGCTTTAAAGAAGGTATCTGTGACTCAAACTAACTTTACTTGCCGTGACGTCATTCGTACACCCACGATTGTTGCTACTTAATTCCAATGAAAGATCGCAAGATACGTATTTTTTAAGTATACGCGTAATGGTAATTAAATGGAGATGAAAATGTGATTTTGTTTGTTTTTATTGTATGACTAGCATTGCCCGCGGCTCCGCCCGCGTTCAGATGACCTAAAACCAAATTCTTAGGTTTTACACATTACTATACTCTTACATTGCAGTTTTTGTATTTTTTCTCAGAAATGAGATATTTTTCCGCCGTAAAAAGTCCTATATGTTGACACGGATGATCAGCTGTGACCATACCAAATTTTATCAAAATCCGTCCAGTAGTTTTTCTGTGATGCGGTAACAGACAGACAGACAAAAATTCTAAAAACTATAGATTCGGCCTCTGTATCGATAATAATGTCTATTTCAATAAGATTTTCCAAAAAATATTTAATATACAGATTTGACTCAGAATTTTATTATATGTATTGAATAACATATTTGTACCGATCAATAAAGAACTATTATCTTCCTTAATACTTAAAATTGTATTATGATTTATATCTATAAGTAAAAAATACCAAAAGGTGATGTTACTCGTTTATAATCCAGATTAATATTATAAATGTGAAAGTTTGTTTGTTTATCCATTTGTCATGTCAAAATGATTTTTTGTTGTTTTAGCGCGAGCAAAGCCGCGGATTCTGCTAGTATTAAATAAATGCAAAATGAACCCGAGCAAAGCAAGAGTGCCTATAATATGTCATTAGTAAATAATGTTTGTTAAATGGCAGGTGTCAATGTGATTTGTTTTCATATTAAAATCACGTCGTCGTAGTTTTTTCTTCGATTCATTCAACGGTGGACATCTCACACTGTGAATCATCGGTTGTGTCTATCGCCTAAGTCCAAGGTCATGTATTTATGAGTACCTATGGTTTTATGCCATCAGTTAATTTGCTTTGCGGTTTTTGTTTTTGTTTACATTGATGTTCTCCTGACCGATTCCGACCACGGCGGCCAATCTCATTGAGACTAGCCAACTGCGCAGGAGATATTATAGTGCACAAGTGTACGCGCAGACACAACGTCCACTCTCTATTCCTGTCACTCTCATACTCCGGTGGGACGACCACTCGACACGACCAGTGAGGTTAAGGCGCAGGACCGACGGCTTTACGTGCTCTCCGAGGCACGGGGGTGAAACACCGCCAACTTCCCAACTCCAGGTTGTTACTGAGGCTTACTATACAGAAATACTCAATAACTAAACTTGGCCCGACCCGGGACTCGAACTCAGGACCTCCAGGTGTGCAGCCGTACATGCTAGCTACTACACCACCGAGGCTGTTAAAGTTTAAGTTGTTTACATTATATTATATTTAACGGGAAAATGAGGTATAAAAAGACCGTAAATAAGTAGCTGTATATTGATTAACCAAGTATGCAATTATTACTCAAATGACCTTTTTCTTGGTATGTTACGAGTATGTACTAAATATGAATTCGTTCATTCATTCTCTTACATTATAATCGAAAATTTAGGCATTTTTCATAATTAATTTCGTAACGGGCATAAATCGTAATTTTTGAAGTTTTTTAAAGAGAATCTTAAACACCATATTATATACTAGCGACTGTCCCTCGTTCCGCTCGGGTTTGTCCCTAGGTGATTCTTTTTTATATATATGAACCGATTGAAATAACACTAAAACTAAATACGAAGCGAAGCTTACATTACATAAGTGAAATCGCACCTAAATCGGTTAAGCCGTTTGTAAGATTAGCGCGCAGACGCACAAACAGACAAAAAATCTAAAAATCATTGTTTTGGATTCTACTGTGTTAATAAAAACCCCCAATAATAGTTTCCCTAAATATCTTCCATGTACAGACAGCGATCAGTAAAAAAAATATATTATACGTACCTACTTATAGATTATACCTATATAGGATGTTGAAACTTTTGTTTATAGATATTTGCGGGTACAATGCTTTTTTAACATTTTTAAACTAGACAGATTAAATAAGGAAAGTATCGATAAGAGACTTTTAATTGCGATTTTTTGTTATCTTTAATTAGTATAGGTATATGACAGTGCATCTGAGGGCTCGAATCGATTATCCCTTACCATAGTGCTGGCTCTACGAGTATATATGGCGTATGTCCACAACACGAGTATATATGGCGTATGTCCACAACGTTATATTGTTGTCATGAGTTTTGTTGAATTATATATAGCAATTTGCTGCTCACACCTTATAAGGATCTATAAATAACTATAGGTAGCCATCAGAAATTAATTATTTTCCTCCACGCCCGTTACGTTGATTAATGATCGGAAACATTGCAAAAAAAACTGCCCATTTACATATTAACATTAAGTTCTCTCAAACGAGTGGGACGCAGATAAACGTACAGGAGCACTATATTTGGTTAACGTTGCGTCACCTAATGACAATAATTTTCGCGTCGTTTTCCCTGAACATTGTTCAATTAGTCACTCGTGTATTGGTTGGCTCGAGTTTCTGAATAGTGTGATTTGGCATGTTCTTTCCGGATTATTAAGATCCGTGTGCAAAACAAAAACGTGGAATTTACGGGAATCGAACTCGCGAACACCCACGTATTAGATAATAGTACATATAGTGATATGATTCATTTGCTTTTATAAAGTGTTCTTTCAGCCTGATTTCAGTCTGATTTCTTTAACTGACAACTGCTACGGTTCGGCCTGTGTTTATTCGTTATCTTAGAATCGATCGGAGTCTGGACCAATTAAAATAAAACTTTTCTATATTTTTAAGACACAGACAGACATTTTTCATAATTTAGTCCCATTTTTATTAGATCATGTATTAGATATTAAGTAAATAATAAAGATAATGGAAAAATAACATATCGGTGCATCTTATAATGCCGTCCTATCTCATTTCGTATTCCATTAAGAAAATCAAGAGTGCATTCAATAATATGAAGCGAGGTCAACGGTGTTTACGTGATCGGGCTCACAATGTAAGAACAATTGTATAACACCCTTATAGTGTGTTAGTTGCTTAGATTTATATACAGGGTCATTTTTAATTTACTGAAAACCTTTTGGGAATATACTATTTACATCATAAAAACAACATCTGTAACAAGAAAAAGTAATATTTCTTAAATTTTTATTTTCATACAAAAATAAAAATATATTTTTTGCACCTTCTAAACTTTAAAGTTCTAGCATCTGGCCAAGTTTAAATGAGTAAGCGCGGCTTCCTACACCCCTCCACCCCTCCTCCTCCACCGGATACACACTTTCTTTTGCTATTGCTGGACTATTACCATTTAAAAGGTGCAATATAAATATTTTTATATTTGTTAAATTGAAGATATTTTTTTTTCTTACAGATGTTATTGTTATGTTGTAAATAGTGTACTCCTAAAAGGTTTTCAGTAAATTTAAAATGACCCTGTATACGGAAACTAGCAACTCACCCTCGCTTGGGTTCGTCCCTAGTGAAAAACAAACAAACCTATCCCACATTGATGATGTTCTCCTAGCCGATTCCGGCTACAGCGGCCAATCTCATTGAGACTAGCCAACTGCGCAGGAGATATTATAGTGCATAAGTGTACGCGTAGACACAACGTGCATTCTCTATTCCTATCACTCTCATACTCCGGTGGGACGACCACTCGACGCGACCGGTGAGAGTTAAGACGCAGGACCGACGCTTTACGTGCTCTCCGAGGCACGGGGGTGAAACACCGCCAACTTCCCAACTCCGGGCTGTTACTGAAACTTCTATACAGAAAGACTCAGTAACTAAACTTGGCCCGACCTGGGATTCGAACCCAGGACCTCCGGGTGTGCAGCGGTACATGCTAGCCACTACACCACCGAGGCAGTTCCCATCACCCCATCCCACATTACACACATACAATCTCGAAAGCCTCGAGGTTCTTGCAAAAAGTGTTATTTATAAAAGTTGTAGATTTTAACTAGACCTACAACTTTTGTTGAAAACATTTTTCTATAGAACGTCAACGTCGTTAGCCGGAAATTGAAAAAAACTATTTTTCAACATTTTGCGTCCCCCCATTTCTCGGGGGTAGCTGGGCATGTGGGGCATTTTATGAATTTCTATTCCTTATATACCTGCTAACATTTTAAAATCATAAAACTTTTGGTTTTCAATGTTTTTTTTCTCTTAAAAACGAACGGATTCCGATTGGTCTGTCAGTAAATATTAGTAGGATAAACTCACATCAGTGATGGGGTCGCCGCAGCCATGGCACCTCGGGCTGTGGAACTGCGTGTAGCACGGCACGCAGTGCACTCCGCCGTCGTGCTGGTGGAACTTGGCCCCGTCGATGGGCTTGCGACAGGTGTTGCATGTGAAGTGCTCGGGATGCCACTTTTTGTTCAGTGCTGTGACTATCTGGAAATAGACGAGGTTGTTAGCATTTTGTTACGAAATTGTGTTAGGAAATACTTTGGGTTATATTTTGCTTGATGATTTTCAAGGAATATCAATTTTCATATTATAATTTATTATTAATATAGAGAATGATGTAGTAGTAGTGCTAAAACCAATCAATTGTACCAATATAGGGGGAATTGTGAAAACGAATCCTAATAGCCTAAACTCGTATGTGTATCTAGTAGTCATTGGAGAGCCACTTTCTGTTTTTATCACCAGATCAGCTCGATGGTGACAAATTACTTTATTGTCATCGATATTACATACAATTTCGAAATTTTAAATAGATTTCTTCATATAATGTACATTATACATACATAGTTATCGTAATGTTAAAAATAAATAAATTTACATTGCCATATAAAATATTGTATAAGATTCAAAAGGCATCTTACAATTGGGTCAATATTTGTTTACACATACACAAAAAACCAATAAACATAATATAACGCGTTATTGCCCTATTTACATTTAGTTCTACGCATATCATTGCCCGTATACGTCTTTATTTTAACGTGATTATCTCTTTAAGGCAGAAGTAACGCCTCTTCGTGACGCTTAGCGCCATTCGCTAGTTGGCTTTATATGGAAGATCATACATTGATATGCAGTGCTTATTTGTAGCATGTGATACAAAACATGGCAAGTGCGTAATTGTTTAAATTGAGAGGGTTCCGTACTTTTACACTTCCTTACTTTGCACTTGCCACTTTAGTTTGGATTTTTTGATATATATTTAATGAGCACGTTCTAGCCTATGTCCTACCAAAGTAGACTGTTAATGAAATTGTTCTAGATTGGGTTTTGCTCGTGACTCCACACTTGTGCTAGCTATTTATTTATTTTTTTGTATTTTATTTATTTACATTCGGACACAGGTCCATAGTTTTACATATATTATTAAAAACATTTAACATTTATATATCGAAAAAAAATAACCATTACTTCTGTACGATAGTGAGTATATTGGAGAAAGAGTTTATAGAATCAATTTAGTTTTTCTTATAAATACCGTATATAATTTATATGCATTTAGTAATAAGCTGTTATTATGACATTATAAACAGACACTTCAATTTATATTTATAGATATCTATATAGATAGTAAAACTGATGCGCAGACTACCACACAAAGGTTGTTATTTTAGTACACAGTAATGCTGCTTGTTTGTTGTCATTTTCTCTGTTTTTGATTATGGTATAAAGAACCCTAAAATTAATGGTGATACATTACCAACTAAAGCGTTTAAACGTAATTGTTATGGAGTGGTCAAGATTTAAATATGTTAATGTATCTATTAACAAAATTGCTTGTTGCGATTTATTTGTGAGATTTTTAAATTTGTAAATATTACTATCTAATACTTTCTTAGATTTACGCGTATATCTGACATTTTAAATAAAACTATTTTTTATAATACTTTCTTAGATTTACGCGAATATTTGAGATTTTAAATAAAACTATCTTTTCGGATTATTTCGCGGATTTATTTTGATTTTTGGTTCCCGACGTTTCCAATGCTTTACTGCAATCATGGTCACGGGTGAGACTTAGGTGTTGGATGTAACAGCTATACCTTCGAGACATCCAAAACCTCAGTCTCCGAAAAGATGGTTTTATTTAAAATTGCTTGTTCTTATTTATTTGTAAGATTTTTAAATTTGTAAATATTCCTATATATCTAATACTCGTCTTATAGACGGACAGCAAATATGCATAAAGTACCTTTATGCACACAGCACTATCTTGTCACTTTTAATACTTTGATATACCACTTGAAATGCGATACAGTTGTCAGTTTAATATTAAAGTAATATATGAAACACCTGGGCGATCGAGCTTCGCTCAACGTGATTTTTTGTATTTTTTGTTTGGAAAAGATATAAAAATTGTTTTTTTTTTTAAATTATTTTTTGTCATTTTCGAATTAGGTATAATTCTCAATGATTACATGTTATTCTCGAAAATTTTGTGTACGATAACATGTGATTTTCGTCGATAAAGACGTATTATCGATTGATGACGCAATTGCATCATATCTTATCTGCTAAGCGGCTGCTGATACATTATGATTATTTGTTTTGGCTTTGAAATTTGAATACATACAATGCGTAAAGAATTTTACTAAGTGTGGGATTTGGAATTTTTTTATTAGTAGAGCTATGTAGAAGAAGTTATGTCACATTCATGACAAGTAATGTCATGAATGCCACAAACGATTCTTTCAAATTTCTTTCAGAAGAAATGTAATCGTACCTATATTCTATAAAACAATGAATGGTCCTCTAAGCTCAATTGTTTCTAAGTGTTCTTTCTTGGGAGCGCTTTAAAATGAAAGAAGTTCGAAAACTGTCTCTGTATCTATGGACCATATTCATTTTCAAAATAGGCAGAGAAGGGCACTACCATATTTTTTTGCTTTGGGGCCCAAAAAGGCTAGTTTCGCTACCGCTTATAAAGATAAAGTATTTATTACATTATTTATCTACTATCTACAGTGAGATTACTAATAAATTAATTTTTACGATATATTATGTACGAACATGTTGTAATGTTTCAGTATTTTTTTAAGGAATATATATTATACTTAAAAATATGATGGCAAGTGTAGTTAATAGTTATTGTACTTGTTTATATTTTTACATGCAATTTATTTATTTATAATTTTTCAATGACTTATTGAATTAATTTAACCTCTTTGATTTAACAAGAATCTCTTCTAAGTTATCTCTTAGGCATAAAAGTAGTGTTTTAAATCATATAATATATATTAAACCACGTGGAATATGCTACATTTAATGGGTGACATCATTGAAAATGTGTCAGTTTATTATCGATATTCTGAAAACTTATTACCTTATCATGTTAATATATCGTTTCTTTTAAATATTTTATGATAAAATTAATGTTTGGGTTTTTTACAAGAATAGATATTAAAATAAAAACTTTATATCCTACTTTCAATATAAACTATAGTAATACTAAGTAATACTGCATTTTTCGTTCAAGCTATTTAAATTTTAAAGTATTCTGAAACTTTATTTCTATGCCTCAAATCATTCATAGAGTAATAAATGAATGTGTGTAATAATATCTGTTTTATATTTAAGTATGTATAAACTCGATGTTTCCGATTCGTGAAGAACCGTGCATGCATGAAAAATTTAACCAGTTCTCTAAAGACGTGAGAAATTTGATAACACGTATTTATCTATTTGTATGAACTACGTACGGCATTATGCCTCGCATTGAGAGGAGCCCCAGTAGTGGGACATCTAAAGAACTGAATTATTATAGTACTTCATCTACCATTCTAGCGGACCAAACCACTATCATATCGTGTATTTACTATTTAGTAAGCTATTATGCATGGATGAATCATGCCCGTAAAAGAATAACTATTGTGTCAGGTTCACTGGCCATGACCTAGTATTACCTATTATCATAACATAACACAGCAAATCTTCTATCTAAGTCGGTTCTATTGATTCATTAGGCCTTAAAAAATCGAGAGGTATCGTGGGACACCCTGTAGGAACGGAGTCCCTTTCGCTCTGTCCTTGGCTCATAAATTATATTACAAAAATAATAGTAAATGTATGTAAATGTTGAAGTTCTTCGAAGAAAGGCCTGCATAGAGTGCACGTTTTCTTACAACATATGTACACTCCTTATGGGGTGTTCTTAGTAAATAGTAACTCCTCCTTTTTGGAAGTTGATTAAAAAGTGTCGTGACGGTAAAAATATTACACTTTTTTCCGTCTAGCTCTCATTTGCCAAGTGTGCTGAATCACGTGCGATTCTTATTTTGCGTAGATACCTAAAAGCTGTGAGCTGGATCATGTATTCTACCATAGATTCGCAGTCGGGATTTTTAATACTATTGCTGGTTGTTCAGATATGCGTAAGGAAAAGATTTTACTCTAAAAGGATTTTCTTTATTATTTTAAAAACACAAATTGTCTGATTTTGTTTTAATCTGTTATTGGCCATAAGTAACCTATTTATTACTTTAGGTTTTTATGACCTTCTAGAGATAGAATGATTGAAAGATATGTTATTAATTTATGGCCAATAAACAAATAGAGTCAAGTATATATGTATGAATATAGGTTCATTGCGATCACAAAATATTTTAACATAAGAAAAAGTTTTTATTGGGAAAATTAGGATTTTCATGCGTGTAGAAGGGGCTTTAGTTAGTTTTTTGAAATACTCACTCTTCCCTGGATTGCAGAATTGCAGCCATTGCATATTACGGGTCCCCCGTCCTTTGTAGACTGTAACAAAAAAAAGTACAAATAAAAAAAAAAAATGTTAATACTAAGTAGTAAAGAAAATTTGTGTTGTTAGGTCCAAAAACCACCACACGAAAAATATAATACCTCTAATCTATATAATAAAGCCGAATCTGTACATTAAATATTTTTTGGAAAATCTTATTGAAATAGACATTATTATCGATGCAGAGGCCGAAGCTATAGTTTTTAGCTTTTATTATCACGTGTTTTTAGCTTTTGTCTGTCTGTCTGTTACCGCATCACCGTAAGAGCATACTAACTGTAAAACCTAAGAATTTGGTTTTTGTTCATCTGAATGCGGGCGGAACCGCGGGCAATGCTAGTGGATAAATAAATACAAAAATGCACTGTGAGATTTGTGTACTACTAAAAAGGTTTTATATGTTTTTATTGTTTCGATCGACATTATTATCGACCTTGATTCGAATGCATATCTGACCGATAATGATAATACATATTATGATTGTGATGCGATAACGATCTCATTTTTATTACTTCGACTGCATATTGTTATGACATCATCTTCGGTATGGGCTAAAGTAGGGTTTGCTATTTCATTAAAATATATAGTGGTGCCATATAAATAAGTTTTTGTCTGTTACTCTATTAAATTAGGACCATAACTTAAAAACTTGGCCTCGTATTTTGTATGAGAGCGCGTAAGACAGTGATTTCGTAGTACATTTTGTATGAAATATAATATTTAGAAAAAAGAATTTAAAAAAAAGTTTCGATTTTAGGTACCTATATGTTTTTTTTTTTGCGAATAAAAAATCTTTCCTTAACGATGGAATAAATACTTTTAAAAGATTTTAAAGAAGATGCAATAAATGGTTTAGTTAAAAAGTATAATTCAATCAATTTAAAATCGGTTTTAAATATTTAATAAATAATTTCTATTTTATATTATTACTAGCGACTCACCCTCGCTCCGCTCGGGTTCGTCCATGGGGTGGGGTCTGGGAGGACCACCCTTATCCTTATCACTTAGGGGTATGAAAAATAGATAGTAGCCGATTCTCAGACCTACTGAATACGCATATAAAATTTGGTAAAAATCGGTAAAGCCGTTTCGGAGGAGTACGACAACAAACATTGTGACATGGAAATTTTATATATAAGACAATACTGAGTTACAATGGTGTTCTTTAAATGTGCAGATATGGTTGTTTATATTTACCAAAGTAAAAAATCCTTAGAACAAATAGAATATGTATAACATTTAATATTTTGTAAGTTCTGTAAACTGTTAGGTTTAAAGTATATATGTATTATTTATTTATTTAGACAAGCACAAAAACAAACATACATATTAACATTTATATACATTTAGACGACAATAAATTAATTAATCAGATATGTATGTCTTTTCCAGTGTACATAACATTCGCTGTATTACATAATCAAAAGTATATATAATTAATAAAAACAATTAAATTAAATAAAAATGATTCTTAACTAGTCTACAACTGCCAGCTATACTAATTAATTTAAATATTGTTAAAAAAAGAGTCAAATAATATAAATTAAATTAAAAATTAATCAAATAATATTTTAAATAAAACTATCTTTTCGAATTTTGTCGCGGATTTATTTGGATTTTTGTTTCCCGACGTTTCGAATGCTTTACAGCATCCATGGTCACGGGAGAGACTGAGGTGTTACATGTCTCGAAGGTATAGTTGTTACAGACAGCCTACCCACAAATGTCGGGAAACAAAAAACCAAATAAATCCGCGACAAAATCCGAAAACATAGTTTTATTTAAAATTTCAAATATTCGCGTAAATCTAAGAAAGTATTATTGATCAAATAATAACTAAACATTTCATGTCAAATTATTCAAGTAATTAGTAAATCAAAGGAGTCAAAATAAGTCAAAAAATTTAATACAAAGTCAAGTTAAAATTAATCAAATAATAACAAAGTCAAAATAAAATGATTCAGAATATGTATAATAATTAAGAATATTGTAGTATGAAATAATTCAGAATATGTGTAATAATTAAGAATATTGTAGTTTGAAATTCGTCGTTTTAGCGTTCTATGTATACTGCCTGCTAAATTTTAAGTATGAAGCTAAAGTATGCGGTTCGGGAAGATGTGGGCGCATGTTTACGATAGCTTATTTACGATTATTCGCCCCTGGAAACGTAGTCACGAGTTCGAATTTTTCAGTGCCTAAACGAATGTTAATGTTTGATACAATGAGGTAAGATGGAGATGATTTGCCTTTAATACTTGTAAATCCTTATATTTTACCTTTCTATCGTGACAATTAACATTATGCCAATATTATTTAAATAGATAAATACTTGATATAGAATATATTTGTTATTTGAAAAGAAAATATAAAGTGCTAGCAAAACCCGCGGCTTCGCTCGCGCTAAAAATAAAAAAAAACTCTAAAAAGATACTTTCATACAAATGTTTATACCCTATTTTACCCGCTTATACGGTGAATTTTGAAAAATGCTAAGACATGTATTTAATTTTGTTGAAGAGCATATATACCAAGTTTCAAGTAATTCTGATAATAAATATTTTTTTGGATTGTTATTATAACGTGTTTTCCCGTGGGAATTACGTAATCTCCCGCGATAAAAAGTAGCCTATGTCACTCTCCAGCCCTCCAACTATATCCACACCAAAAATCACGCCAATCTATCACTCCGTTTCGACGTGAAAGAAGGACAAACAAACAAACAAACAAACAAACAAACAAACAAACAAACAAACAAACAAACAAACAAACAAACAAACAAACACACTTTCCCATTTATAATATTAGTATGGATATAACTAAAGTGATTAGTTATTTAATGAATAAAATCATTAAAATCTTATATAAGAAAGAATTCTCGTACAAAGTCATCACAATAATAGATACAGTAATTGTTTCTTACACCATCTACCAGTTAATTGAGTTATAAACACATCTTGATTGATATAAAACGTTTTCTCGGCAATTAATCTGCAGTTGAGGTTTTTATTGTCTCACGCACGCTCACATAGATTGCTTGAATATTATATATATAATGTATCTAACACTTAGTAATAAGATAGTTAGCATAATAATCTAATGATTTAAGCGATTATTTGACATCTATACAGATAAATAAAATTGAAGTGTCTGTTTGTAATGTCAAAATAACAGCTTGTTATAAGAAAAACACAATTTTTAAAATTTTTGTCTGTCTGTCTGTCTGTTCCGGCTAATCTCCGAAACGATTTGGCCGATTTTGACGGGACGTTCACTGGCAGGTAGTTGATGTTATAAGAAGTAACTTAGGCTACTTTTATTTCAGTAAAAGAATTAGGGTTCCGCTCACTAAATAAAATAAAGTGTGCCTAGTGTTTTAAGTAAATTAATGTTTCTGAATTTCGCGGATTCATTTTGATGTTTGGTTCCCGACGACGAAGTTATACGAAAAGTTGGTTAGCATTTTATTGAGCAATGTTTAACCTTATTTAATAACTTTGATCTGCGAAAAAGAGCAAGCTGCTTTTTTTATACCCAAAAAATTGTACCTAATTATATTGCATACTCAAAAATTGGCATTTTTGAAATACATACTCGTATTAATGTATTGTGTATAACTATAAAACTTAAAAGCTTTAACTAACATAAAACAGCTTTAATTTTGGCTAATATTTTCTTTAACTAAATATCTGATTCATATACACGGCATAAAATATGAGAATATACTCAAATGGTACAAATATTCTAACACTAGCGGCTCACCCTCGGGTTCGCCTCTAGAAAAACAAAAACAAATCTATCCCACGGGAACCGTACATTTTGCCCATATAAAAACTAGCCCATGTGTTATTCTGATGTACGAGCTATATTATTGTAAAGTTTCATTAAAATCCATTCAGTAGTTTGCGTGAAAGAGTAACAAACATCTATACATCCTCACAAACTTTCACATTTATAATATTAGTAGGACAACAAGTGTTTACAGAAAACCATGTTTCCATTAGTCTATTTCACTATTCAAGACGTAAACTATTTTCAGTGAAACAGATTAATGAAAAGTTTGTAGCATTGTAGCTTGTACGAGTATACCTATGCCTAAGTGAGCTGTGGGCGGACACCTGTCGCAACGAACACGCGTACGTGCGACTTTAACTGATTGATATCAAAGAAAGCGATGAAGTCACAGAACCGTGACAACGTCGTATTTGGACGATACTTTAACGGAACAATGGTCTTAGCGTGTTGCATATGAATTATGGATTCACTTAATTGATCGTTTAACCTTTGATTTATTTATTACTAGCGACTGACCCTCGCTCCGCTCGGGTTCGTCCCTGGGATGGGGTCTGGGAGGACCACCCTTATCATTATCACTTAGGGGTATGGAAAATAGATAGTAGCCGATTCTCAGACCTACTGAATACGCATATAAAATTTGTTAAAAATCGGTAAAGCCGTTTCGGAGGAGTACGGTAACAAACATTGTGACATGGAAACTTTATATATTAGATTATTATTAATATTAATATTTGTTGATTGCTTTTTGTTTGCGATATTGATTTTGGGGATTCGTTGATAGAAGGCTTAAACGGAGAACTAATATTTTCGTATTTAAGGTCTTTTCGTGCTTCACTGTAGTATCTGATTGACAATTCTGAGGCTGACTGATGGGTTGTCCGATTTCGGAGGTGTTGTCCATTTGAGTATTTTTTAAGTTTCTATTCATTTACGATGGATACAAATATGTTCCGGTTTTCATAGAAATAGTGATATAATTAATTATATAATATGTAATATAATACTTTCTTAGATTTACGCGAATGTTTGACATTATTAAATAAAAACCAAAACATCAAAATAAATCCGCGAAATAATCCGAAAAGATAGTTTTATTTAATAATATGTAATAGTTTCGTTGTTCTAAAAATTATCGATACCTAGTGAATCACTCTTGCTTCGCTCGGGTTCGTCCCTGGATACGGTTTAAGTATATGTT